TAAGACCGGGCCCAAGACAGAACCCTGTGGCACCCCACTAGTCACTCTTCTCCAGGATGAAGAGGAACCATTGATGAGCACCCTTTGGGTTCGGTCAGTCAGCCAGTTACAAATCCACTGAGTGGTAGCATAGTCAAGACCGCATTTTACCAGCTTCTTTACAAGAATATCATGGGGCACCTTGTCAAATGCCTTGCTGAAATCAAGGTAGGCTACATCCACTGCATTCCCTTCATCTACCAGGCTTGTAATTCTGTCAAAAACGAGATCAGGTTAGTCTGACATGACTTATTTTTCAGAAATCCATGCTGACTATTGGTGATCACACCATTCCTTTCTAGGTGCTCACAGACTGTTTGCTTAATGATCTGCTCCAGAATCTTCCCTGGTATTGATGTCAGACTGACTGGGCGGTAATTATTTGGGTCCTCTCTTTTCCCCTTTTTGAAAATAGGGACAACATTTGCCCTCCTCCAGTCTGCCGGGACTTCGCCTGTTCTCCAGGAATTCTCAAAGATGACTGCCAGTGGTTCTGAGATCACATCTGCCAGTTCTTTTAATACTCTTGGATGCAGTTCATCTGGCCCTGGAGACTTGAATACATCTAAATTAGCCAAGTATTCTTGTACTATCTCCTTAGTTATTCTGGGCTGTGTTTCCTCTGCTGAATCATTTGCTCCAAATTCTTCAGGTCGGGCATTGTTTTCTTTATCGGAGAAGACTGAGGCAAAGAAGGCATTGAGGAGTTCAGCCCTTTCTGTGTCCCCTGTTTGCATTTCACCATCTTCTCCTCTGAGTGACCCCACTGTTTATTTGTTCTTCCTTTTGCTATGAACATACCCATAAAAGCCCTTTTTGTTGCTTTTAACCTCTATAGCAAGCCTGAGTTCATTCTGTGCTTTAGCTTTTCTGACTTTGTGTCTACACGTGCTGGCTATTTGTTTGAATTCCTCTTTGGTGGTTTCCCCCCTTTTCCATTTTTTGTACACATCCTTTTTAATCTTAACCCAGTTAAAAGTTCTTTAGATAGCCACCCTGGCTTCTTTAGGCACCTTCCATGTTTCCATCTCATTGGTATTGCCTGAAGTTGTGCTTTTACTATCTCCCTCTTAACAAACTCCCAGCCATCATGAACTCCCTTTCCTTTTAGTATTACTGTCCATGGGATCTCACCCAGCACTTCCCTAAGTTTTATGAAGTTGGCTTTCTTAAAGTCAAGAAATTGAGTCCTAGTATGCTTGGCTGCTCCTTTCCGCTGTATAGTAAACTTCAGAAGAGCATGATCACTCGCGCCTAATGATCCTTCCACTTCTACCCCACTAACCAGGTCATCAACATTGGTTAGGACCAGATCTAAAATGGCTGTTCCTCTTGTTGCTTCTCCCACTTTCTGGACAATGAAGTTGTCTGCAAGGCCAGTGAGGAATCTGTTTGACCTTATGCTCTTGGCTGAGTTTGACATCCAACAAATATCCGGGTAATTGAAGTCCCCCATTACTACTATCCCCTTCCTTTTGCATGCTTGGCCATCTGTTCCAGGAAGGCATCATCTATGTCCTCCGTTTGGCTTGGGGATCTATAGTAAACTCCCAATGAGGTCACTGTTATTCTTCTCTCCCTTAATTTTGACCCAAATGCTCTCACTTTGGCTTTGAGGTTCTAAATCTTGGATCTCTTCACAGGTATACACATCCCTGACATATAACGCCACTCCTCCTCCTTTCTTGTCTGGTCTGTTTCTCTGAAATAGATTGTATCCCTCCATTATTACATTCCAATCGTGGGACTTATCCCACCAGGTTTCAGTGATGCCTATTATGTCATATTTAGTTTGCTGTACCAAGAGCTCAAGCTCATCTTGTTTATTTCCCATGCTTTGCACATTAGTGTACAGACATTGAAGTCCATTAATCAGTCCCCGTGACTCTTATTTAAGGATTTTTTCCTCCCACCACTAGGTCTGCGTGCTGTTTGCTCCATTTGGTCTATGACATTTGGATGATCATCTTCATCAATTGATAGACTCCTACCTTCAGGAGCACTGTCTCCCTCCCCCACATTAGTCAGTTTAAGGCCCTCCTGATGAGGTTTCTGAGATTTTTGGCAAAAACATTCCTCCCAACCGCTGTGAGGTGCAGCCCATCGCTTGCCAGAAGTCCATCTTCAAGAAACTGCAATCCGTGATCTAAGAATCCAAACCGTTCCTGTTTACACCATTTGCGAAGCCAGCTGTTCACTTCCACTATTTTTCCCTCTCTCCTGGGCCACGTCGTTCAACTGGGAGGACAGATGAGATGACAATTTGTGCATTTAATTGCTTCAATTTCCTGCCCAGAGCCTCGTAGTCTCTTTTGATCTTCTGGAGGCTATTGCTTGCAGTGTCATTGGTTCCCACATGAACCAAGAGGAAGGTTGTTGCATGGAAACAATTCAAGGAAAGGAGGAGCTAAATGGAGTGGTTATGTCAGGAGAGCCCATGTAGTAGGCCTCTCTTTTTATTTCTTTCTTTGCTACAGACAGGTGGCATGGTGAATTATTGGATAGCCAGCTTTTCACAAATTTTATTTTAGTAGACCTGTGATCTAAAACCCATTTTATGCAGGAACAACGATTCACACTATTCCTGTTCACTTTCATTCCTGAGAGTAACGTAGTTGGTGCTTTTCCAGCACATGAGCGGCGGATGAATGAAGTAAGGATTGCTATACAAGGAATTGCTATGTGAACTCTTTTACTCCACTATTCTCCTTTGCAAACTCTTGATTACCAACGTCAAAGATTTAATCTTAGCAAGCCAAAGTTCATGTAAATAGTGCATTCCTAGGTGTTAGAAAGCATATATAAATATACTCTTGCGGCTGACAGAGACACTTTACAGTCTTTTATAACACATTTTAAGTTATTGTTTTATGCTAGTATATTGACCTGTTTTACGAGTCAGTTTACACCCATTGTGGTGTTCAATTGGCCTTGGACCTAAATGTTTATATACTACAACAGTATGGAATACAAACCCACCCATAATGTCTCACTTCACACATGCTTTCCAGTCTCTCCCCTTGCCTAAATTCTCCCTTTCCACATTTCAGCTATAACTTGATGAGTTGACTGCTCTGTTATCCTTGTCTAAATATTTTCCCTTGATCCTGTACCTTCCAGATTCTGGATGCCACCTCTCCTCCTGCGAATATATCTTTTCTCCGCTATTTAATCATTCCCTTTCTCTCCAGTAATGTGGGTTTTCTGGAAATTTTGAACAATTTGTGTCAGGTAGTTTAGATCGGAAAGTTTTCTGATGCCCAAAAAGAGTGGTCTAATTTATCATGCTTACTTTACTTGTGTTTAGTAAATAGAGCCAAAAAATTTGGGCGGTCTCCAATGAAGCAGTTCTGTAAGCGCAAGGCCTCCTGGCTGAGCAATGGAACTTCCCCTGCCTCTCTAGTATCCCCCAGACTCCCAATCTATTCTGGGTCCCCCCCCCCAACCCTCTGGAGCAGATTTGGGAAGGGCTCAAAGTGTGTGTGGGGAAGAGAGATTGGCGGGAACTACTTCGTAAACAGAACTATTTAAGCACACCACTGGTTCTCAGCAAAATAATCCCTCAACCTACCACCCAATTTCCCCTTGGGAATTTTCCCTTCTGTTATTGTCAACTCAAACCATAAAACCATGGTTTGTTTTAGCATCTGGACTGTGTACAACCTGTGGTATTTAAGGGCCTGACAAACCAGGATCTGAAGCTACAATTTGTGGTTTGCTCTTTTGTCTGAATTCGAAGACAATTTACAAACCACAATTGGGCCATTTCTCATCTCAGAAGGCTGTTGTTGTTGTTTAGTCGTTTAGTCGTGTCCGACTCTTCGTGACCCCATGGACCAGAGCACGCCAGGCACTCCTGTCTTCCACTGCCTCCTGCAGTTTGGTCAAACTCATGCTGGTAGCTTTGAGAACACTGTCCAACCATCTCATCCTCTGTTGTCCCCTTCTCCTTGTGCCCTCCATCTTTCTCAACATCAGGGTCTTTTCCAGGGAGTCTTCTCTTCTCATGAGGTGGCCAAAGTATTGGAGCCTCAGCTTCATGATCTGTCCTTCCAGTGAGCGCTCAGGGCTGATTTCCTTAAGAATGGAAAGGTTTGAACTTCTTGCAGTCCATGGGACTCTCAAGCGTCTCCTCCAACACCATAATTCAAAAGCATCAATTCTTCGGCGATCAGCCTTCTTTATGGTCCAGCTCTCACTTCTATACATCACTACTGGGAAGGCTGTTGGATCATTGATAAAGGAAGAAACTTGAACTCCTGAGTCCTGAGCAGATAGGAGATGAAAGCAGATAAGCATCCCTTAACACTGGAAGGGAAGCTTCCCGAAACAATGCCATGTGCCGGAGGGGATAGAAGCAGCCCCCATGTCATTGTATGTTAGTAAGCTGCCTTGTGGGGTGGAGGTGGGGGCTAGTGTATCAAAAGGTGGGGAGAAATCAATCCCAGAACCACACAAACACCTCTCCTAGCACCACATTTTGTACTTAGATATGCCAGGTATAATATTTTCAAAGGCAGGTTCATAAATTAAACAGCAAAACCCCTTCTTCGGCACACCCGTATTCAGTTTACCTGTGTCAGGTTGCTGCTGAAAACACAGAACTGGACTAGTGAAAAGGCCAACAAATGCTGTGTATATACCATACAGTTAAAGCACATGACTTCTCACAAAGAATCATCGCAGCTGTAGTTTGCTAAGGGAACTAGGAATTGTAACTCCATAATGGGTAAACTTCATGCGCACACAGCCAAAGGTATGAGCCAAAATCTTGGCTCTTACCTGTTCCTTCCCTACCTTATCCACTGCACCATCTTTCCCCTGCCCACTATGCGGCAAGGGCTTGCTTGAAGGGTTTTGCACAGGTGTTTGAACATCCTTTGCCCATGTCATGGTATCTTTGTGTAGTCAGGCAGAGAAACATCACAGTGTTCTTTTACAGTGTGTGAATTGCTAGTCACTCTTAGCTTGCTTCTCTCCTCCCCGCAACCCCCTCCTTTGGAAACAGACTTTGCCATGAATTTGATTTTTCATCTTGAGAGAGGAGGGACTTGGCCTTGCTCCTAAGAAGGTAATTTTTTATTGGCCCGTGTTCTTGCCTTTAACGTTTCAGGAAAATTGTAAGAATGCTAGTGATGCAATAGCCCCTGCTGCTTCTGGATCAAATATGAGGACCTGGTACAAGGATACACAGACTGCTTCCAAACCTTAGAGGAACTCTTGAATTAGCTTCTCATAAACTTTTCGGGGGCTTTGAGCTGGTTGTTTCTGGAATCCTCCACTTTCCTTTGCCGTAAAATTTTAATAGCCCACACTTCTGTGATCAAGACATTGAAGAACAAGTCACCTGCTGCTTATGCAATGGGCTTATGCTTGTAAGCAGGGATCATATGGGAACCAGAGATTTGTTCAGTTTTTAACCAGCCTTTCAGAAAATAGTATGATGACGAAGCATTAGTCCTAAAAAGGGGGTCAAGTTTAATCTCTCTTAAGGACAAAGAAACAGCCATCACCAGGACAACTGTTTGGAACAGGATTTGAAGGTAAGAGAGTTGGTGAAGTTCCTGTAAGAACAACGAGATGCAGTTCCATATGCTTATCACTTGGGCTCTGAGCTCCATAACCTTCAAGCCATTAAATCCCAAGGAGCCCCTCTTTTCTAGCCTGAAAAAGGGGGGGGGGGGCGTGCCGCTGCTGCAAGAAGGTAGGTACTATTTCTTTTTAATATGTAGCACAGAAGTAGTTTAGAATTCTTAAAGTTCTGTAGTGAGTTTGTCTGAGTCAATAAGTCTCTCTCTCTCTCCCTTCCTCACCCCCCCCCATGTGTTTTAGGGCATTGGTACAGGAAGCCAGTGTGGTATGGCAGTAGATTACTGTTCTTTGTCTTGAGAGATCACTCAGCCACGGAGATCATTGGGTGATCTTCAGCCAGTTGTTCTCTCTAATCCTAACCTGACAATGTTGATTTGAGGGTAAAGTGGGATAAACCCTCACCTGCTTGTGCCACCAGCCTCAATGAAGGAAATTTGAGATATGAATGTGAATGCTAGGACCACCACCCTCACTAATAACAATTGCATTCTTACTGGTTAGGGCCCATAGGTTAGACTACCCTAGTAGTGGTTAATTAATGAGACAAAAACGGGAAGGTGAAAAACCCAGAGAGAGAGAAAGGAGGAGGGCTGGATGAGAGGAGGGCAGAGTTGTTTACTCTGAATCACAGTGCAGAAAAAGAAATTTCATCCGGTTCACCCCTGCATGACAAATCGTAGCTACCAAAATTCCCTCCTTCGTATCTATGGGTTGTAGCCCATTTTAGTTCTCCCTAGAGTAGGCCCATTGAAGTTAATGGGCATAGCTATCTCGGGTTCATAAATTTCAACAGGTCTACTATGAGCAGGACTAACATTGGATACAACCCTATATCTATATCTGGTAATATCTGGTAATAAATATATATATATCTATATCTGGTATATTTAACAACAAACAGAGGGTTTGATGTTGCAGCTTTGGGTTTAAATTGGGTTCTAGGTCAGAGGAAGTTGAACACTGCTGTTCTGTTAGTTCATGCACAGCAACTATGAATTGCAGAGATTACCAGTGTCCGACAGTACTGGCCTTTTCATTGGCCAGAGTCAGGTGGCCACCTAAAGCAGCTAGCTTGGAGTTTCATGAAAGGGCAGCATGTTGTTTTGCTTTTTTCACAAATGCTCCTAATTACAGTCCCCTGTCAATGACAGTACCCAGTTACCCTATGGAAAACAAGAACTTGCGGAATCATAGAACTGTAGAGTTGGAAGGTACCTTCGAGGGTTGTCTAGTCCAATCCCTTGCAATGCAGGAATCTAAATGTAACTAAATGCACACACAAAAATATATACACTAAATATATGAATGCTGTTTTAATGCATTCTGGTCTTCCAAGTGGTTGCAGCTCTCTGAGAGATGTCTTTGTGCGAAAGACACACATTGGAGTCAAAATGTACTTTTGTTGTTGAAATTTCATTTCTGTGCTGTCCTATATATATATATATATGGCCATCTGTCATGGGTGCTCTAGTTGAGATTCCCACAATTCTATGATTCTATGGTCTATATTTTGCCTCTAATTAGAGTGTCAGTCTTTAGCTGGGTGGAATTCCCTCCCCATTAAATATCAGACAGGCATTATCTTTAATGACTTTTCGGTGCTCACTGAAGATCTTCCTACTGTATGCAAAATACCAATTTTATATAACATATACTGTATAAAAGTAAACGCCCTGAGAGTGCTGCACCTATGTGAGTTTTCAGTTTATTTTTATTTATTCCTGTTTAGGTCATCCTTGTTGCATCTGATTGTGAAATTCAGCCATGTCTCCCCCACTTAACACAAACTTGGGCTACACCCCTCCTGATGGGGGATGGGGATGGGCAGTTGTCTTTGGAGCATCTATATCTGTTGGATTTGCGTACTCCTTCCCTAAGGCTTTCACAATCTACTACAAAGAACTCCAGGCTGTTTATAATATCTCCTATGGCCAGATTGCATGGGTGTCTTCAATTATGTGTGCCACAACCTATGGAGGAGGTAAGTGAATTGAAAATGTTTCTTTCGCCCCATAAAGCGGAAAAGAAGAATCCTCCATACCTCAAAACCTTAGTTCTTCTAGAAGGTTCTTGAGCATATTAAGCCAAGCTGTACATATCATCCAGCTAAATAGAATCCATCAAATCGGAGAGGCTTTCATGGAAATAAAACATTCTCTTTGCAGAATTTTATATTTCATGCAATCTCTCACTGAAGTTTCAACCAATGATGCCAACTTGAATAAAATATAGGTGGGGCAGATAAACCCCACCTTGCATAATAAATCACAAGACGTGGCACATGCACACCATTTGCATGGCAATGCCCATTAACCTGGGGGGGGGGGCAGCTCCCTCAAATATTTTACTGGGGGGACCGAAGGAACCTTGGCCCCTAGGAGTTGGCTCCTATGGTCTCAACTGTTGCTAAAAATGGTGAACTGCCACCATTTTATGGACTGGAAACATTCTGTTGAGGAGCTGAGTTGGGGTTTTTTTTAATGATTGTATTAACTTTATTTTTCAGTCTTTCTAGATCATTTTGTAAAGATTTTTTATTTCTGTGCAACTTATCAATAAGACAGACTTTAAATTGCTTTGGGTAGGATTCATGGGGTTTTATTGCAAGGGCTTCTGCTTGTGCAATGGGACTTTCTCTCTCTTCTCCCCCTGCGTCCCCCAAAATTTCGGCTCAGGAGAACCCCCAGAAGAGTATATGGGGAGAGCGGGGATCCATCTGTCAGGCAAGCTCATACGTCTGAGCAGATGAAACATTTGTATTAGTGCGGCATTTAATTCTACTCTTTTGATCTCATTCTATTATCCCACATCAATACAGTGGTACCTCTAGTTGCATGCACCTCTGGATATGTATCCTTCAAGATACGCACACGGCAAACCCGGAAGTATTTTTCTGGGTTTCATTGTGCGCACATGCGCAGAAACACTCTACTGCACCGTGCGCATGTGCAGAAGCGCTCTACCATACCGCACACATGTGCAGAACAGGTACCTCCAGTTACAAAAACCTTGGGATCCGACTGGAGCTCTGGCATGGATCCTGTCCGCAACCGGAGGTACCACTGTATAGGCCCTTCACATAGATGGTGTTGTTGGAGGGTGGTGCTTCTCCTTACTTTTGTTAATGAAAAATAAAAACAGCAACGAAACCTTGTCAAACAGATCCTTCTTCACCATTGTGGTGATCACACAGGGTCCCCGGACGTTTAACGGTCTATTGATCCCTGTGCCACCACTGTGCTTGCTTCCCTGCTGCCACCAACCCATTACTCTCGGGTAAAACAATGAGTCCAGTCAGTTGTTAAAATTGAACCAAATAAAGAAGTTTATTTTATAAGCATTAACAAGTTTATGGTTTCTCAGATAATATTCTTGTCAGTTTCTTAACTTTAGTTTCTTTACCGGCCTATACCTTCTGACTGATTATTTTAACTGTTTGACTGACTCCTCTTAACAGATTCTCTCACATCAGACTAGCCCAACCCACAGACTTATCCTCTCTCTCTTCTCTAACTCCAGACTAACTTCTCAACCCCCCTAACTCTAACACCTCCCCTTGGGTTCCCATTGGTTAGTCATTTTACAATTAGTTAACCCTTTCCTTATGAACCCAGTATGATGTCGCACACCTAGGAGAGCAAACGCCACAACCATACACCCCCAATTATCTGCTGATGTTGGGTGAGATGCTTTGGCAGAGCTATGTCCCCGTATGATGGCCTAACAGAGGACATTGGTTATTTTACCACTGCCACTGGCCCATAAAGGTTGGCTGATCTGACTACTATTTCAAATTCTTACTTAAATTCCATCAACAAATGATTATTTATTACATTTATTTATTAATTTTGTGTTGGCAATGATTGCAGGAGAGGAAAAAAATGAAACACAAAGTCAAGCTGTGGACTTTGGCCCAAAAAATGATGGAAATGACAATTTCAGACAAGAAGATCCCTAATAAAAAGAGAGCCTTGGGTCAAAATAGACGTGCTGGTTATTTCAGTGTAGCCATGGAGGGCTCGGATGTGGATTGGTGCAGCAGCACCAAGAGAAAGGGAATGCTGAGTTCAAACCCACACTGCTGTTCTACCATTGGGCTAAAAATGCTGGCACCCAGCCTGAGGTGCATGTGATTCAGATACAAATTGTAGCCCCTTTGCAGCTGATTTTAGAAATACAGAGATGGGCGCTATTCTGTGTGTGTAGCGGGCGGCAGTTATTGTTTTGCTTCTTACTATGTTATGTCTTTTTGTAAACTGCCCTGTGATCCTTGGATAAAGAGCAGTATAAAATGTAATAAATAATAATAATAATAATAATAATAATAATAATAATAATAATATACTAGTAATGAACAATCAAGTTACTAGAATTAGAAACAAACCCTAAGAGTTACATGTCAAGTGTAACAATATAGTGACACTAAATAAGCAACAGTTAGTGGGGTGCAGCCTCCAAAAACAGGGACCTGGGCTTAAACTAAGCTTGCTCTTAAAGTGTGAATTATTATATCAGTCTCAGCACGTTATTTATTTTCTCTATTGTATCAGTGTCTATGCTCAGTAATGGACGGGAACGAATGGTCAAGTTGGATAAGATTGAGACACTGTTTCCAAGTGGTTCCCCTGTTTGCATGAGTGGAATGTACTTGTTCTGAGAAGGGTTATAATCTGCTTGAAGGAACAGCTGTGTGGTGTAGTGGTGAAGAGTGGTAGACTCGTAATCTGGTGAACCGGGTTCGCTTCCCCGCTCCTCCACATGCAGCTGCTGGGTGACCTTGGGCTAGTCACATTTCTTTGAAGTCTCTCAGCCTCACTCACCTCACAGAGTGTTTGCTGAGGGGGAGGAAGGGAAAGGAGAATGTTAGCCGCTTTGAGACTCCTTAGGGTAGTGATAAAGCAGGATATCAAATCCAAACTCCTCTTCTTCTTCTTCCTGAGGGTACTTTTGAATCCAATATCGTGTCTTCTACCAGCTTCAGCTGGTAGCCCATGTCTGATCTTATATGGACAGGGATAGCCTGGCTTCCACTGTCTGTGCTCTGATAACCTCCAGGTTAGAACGCAATGCATTTTATATGAGGCCATCTTTGAATATGGTTCAGAAACTACAGTTAGCACAGACAGCGCTTGGCTTGATGAGAGTTGAAACATTAAGAATGGGGATGGACCAGGTTGACGAAGGCTGATTTCGGGTAGCATGAGTGCTTGCTTTGACAGTCACTGCTTATCAGTGAGGAAGACAATCCTAGAATTGTAGAGTTGGATGGAACCCAGAGGGTCATCTGTTCCAACTTCTTGCAATACAGGAATCTGGCCATGCAACCTCTGTCTAAAAACCTCCAAGGAAGGAGAGTCCACCACCTTCCAAGGGAGTCCGTTCCACAGTTGAACAACTCTTACCATCAGAAAGTTCTTCCTGATGTTTAGGCAGAATATTTCTTCTTGTAACTTGAATATAGAAGGATGTCTAGAAGAAAAGCACTGGTTAGAAATGTGACACTGTAACAACTTCATGGTGATCAGCACTTTGATCAGACCTTTTGGACCCCATCATCTCTGGCTCCATGAAATCGCTTCATTATAACTTAAAACAATGAGCTCACCACCACCACCAAGAAAATGAGGACATACCAATTTAATTACATGACGTGGTGCACAATAATGAATTTCCTGTAGCAATCACCTTACTGGGACAATATCAATATGGGCAGTGGAGTTCAGGGGTGAATATACACAATCTTCAGGAATGCCACAAAAAGGCAAGGAAGCAAAATTGCCATTTTACTCTGCTCTGATGTGAATTTTACAGATTTTGACATTTTTTGAGAGTTATTCTTTAATATCTTAGGCATAGGCAAGCCCCTCTCTCTTGGCCTTAGTCCCTTCCCCCACCCCACCTGCAAATGTGGGGACAACTATAGTGACCTGTTTTAATTTAATAAATTTGTCAGCTGTGGTTTTTTTTTTTTTAAATAATAATAATGAAATACTTTAAATAAAAATGAGGCATGCAATATCTGATTAAAAAATCAGTTGAAAGCATATACGGTATTACAATAAAGCATCAAACCATAATAGAGCAGGAACAATAACACCGCAACATGCATTTTAGCGAGTAACTCAGCAGAGACTAAAACAGGTAACGGAGGGTAAAAAGCAGCCCTACTCCACCCCTGCAATCAAAAGCAATCTGATTGGGCAGTCATTGTTGAAATTACTCAGTTAATGCATGTTAAAAAAACACACTTTGCACTCTTGAAATGTGCTATTCAAATGTTAACCATTGTTATTAATTCTGAAAACCATTCCTATAAACAATAATACTATACTTTAAAGTTTTTATGTTTTCAAGTGTTCAAAGCACTTTGCATGATCTAGCTATAACCTTTACAAAATTCTTGTGAAGAAATACTAGCCTGACAACTTGTTCTTGGACGCCTTACAGCCCTCTGAAGGAACAGGTACTTCTGGATTTCCATGGAGTCCCAAGTGGCCTCTGTGGCAAGCAGTACTTGTGCTTGGCTTAGATGGGTTCACAGGCTATGGCAGTTCCCTCGACCTGGGTAGCCTGACCTCTGCAGCACAAGCCCTAGCGACCTCCCACCTGGACTACTGCAATGTGCTCCATGTGGGGCTGCCCTTGAAGATGGTCTGGGAGCAAGGGTGAGACAGAAATTTAATAAATAAACACCCCTGTAAGGTAAGTCAGTATTATCATTCCACATGGGGTGGAGGTTGTAGCCTGAGAGAGAGAGAGAGAGAGAGAGAGAGAGAATTCATGGGGAACTGTCTCACACTGAGTTACGGCATTGAGCAGGGGTAGCCAACATGGTGCCCTCCAGAGATTGCTGGATGCCAGCTCCCATCATTTCTAACCAGCAGGTCAAATGGTCAGAGGTGATGGGAGTTATAGCCCAATCACATCTGGGCAGGGGGACGACACACCACATTGACTACCCCAGGTTTACACTGACTGGCAGTAGCTCTCCAGGGTCTCAAGCAGGAGACTTTCTCAGCCACAGGTAGCCAGGGATTGAACCTGGGACCTTCTGCATGCCACAAGGATGCTCCTTTGGGACAGAGAGCCAGTGTAGCGTAATGGCTGGGGTGTTGGCCTGTGACCTGGGAGACCAAGGTTCAAATCCCCAACTCAGCCATGAAGCTGGCCGGGTGAGCTTGGGCCAGTCACCATTTCTCAGACCCAACCTACTTCACAGGGTTGTTATTAGGATGAAATGGGGAGGAGAACCACCTTGAGCTCCCTGGAAGAACAGGAGGCATATAAATGTAATAAATAAAATTAGATAGAAATGTGGCGATGACAGGTAGAGCAGGTGGCATTTCACTAAGCTTACATCATCATCATCATCATCATTAATTGAATTTATATACCGCCCTATACCCGGGGGTCTCAGGGCCATAGCTGTCAACTTTTCCCTTTTCTTGCGAGGAATCCTATTCGGAATAAGGGAATTTCCCTTAGAAAAAGGGAAACGTTGACAGCTATGCTCAGGGCGATTCACAGAATGAAATCAAGATAAAATCCGCAAAATACATAATAAAAATAAAAACAACCCAATAGCCCCCCTCCCCCAATAGGGAGGCCAGATTCAAGGGAGGACAGGGTTCCTGCCCCTTTAGTTAGAACCTGCCAAAGCCTCACAAAATAGCGCGGGTTAACTATCAGGGATCATTTCTAGGGAATGCCTGCGCGGGAGAAGCTGCCACGGTTTGAAAGCTGCGAATGAAGCTACCACGAAGCACCTCCCTTTCTGTACTTTTCCTCTCGAGGCGAGAGGGCAGCGCTGGAAGCCAGGGCGAGCCACTTCCACAGGCAGGTTCGGGGTGCGGGATCCCCGCTCAGGTTTATGCTCTGACAGGAATCCCGCCCGAGCGAGCGAGGGACCCCGAAGCCAGGCTTTCGCTCCCAGGCGCCTTTCCGCGCGCGTCACTGGCCCGGCGGAGGGGGAAGACCCGCTTCCCCCGACACACGGGCACCACGCCTCCCCGTGGCTTCCCGCCCTGGCTCCTCCTCGCTTCCCTCCCGCGAGGCTGCTCCGAGGCGCCGCGTGCACTCGGGGGCTGACACCGGGCGACCCGCAGGGAGCACAAGGTGAGAAGAGCAGCGCCGCCCCAGGCTCCGGGGGCTACGCGCGCCCGCAGGCGAAGGCGCTAAGCCCCGGACGGAGAAAGCGCGCCAAACTTCTTCGGGAGTTTGGGTAGCAAAGAGGGAAACTTCGAGGAGTGCGCTCGTGTGGATAGTGGACGGTGCTGCATGCGCGCCGTATGCCAGCGTGTCTGCTTTCGTGTGTCTGGTGGGGAGGGCGTCGCGCGCGCGCTATTTATCCTCCTCGGATATCGGGGAAGCTTGAGAAATTTATTATTTTTGCATTTATACGTAGCAGCTGTTGCTGGCCCGGTGCGTATAGAAGCAGGAATCCTGCGCGGACGCTTACAAGGCCCTCCAGCCCTCCTCTTGCAGCGTGAATTTGGAAATTCAGTTGCGGCTTGAGCTTTGGTGGCCAGCTGTGTGACTCATTTACTGCCCAGCATTCCTGCAAGATATAAAAAACTTTGAGCTTAAATTGACAGTATGCAAACATCATGTTAAGGGCAGTCACATGTTAAAGAAGGCCACTCGCTTCCCCTGCCTGAATTGTGTATTTCCTCTCTCCCTCCTATTCTACATCAATGCCACAAAAGGACATATTAAGCCATTTGGGGCAGTTTTTTTTGAGGTATGAAAGCAGGGTCTGATGTGCAGCTTGCCTATTCTGTGAGATGCAGCACGGTAATATGTGTGTGCTTTAACTGTAATCTGCACGCTGCCTCATACAAGTCTAAAATACAGAGAAAACACACACATGCATTTTGTATGTATTAATTCACATGTGAAGGGACCATGTCCTACGTAAATGTGCTGTGCAAGGTATTTTCTGTATGCATCTGCATTCCTTGCGGAGAAGATTGTGTATTGGTCTCCTTCCCAAACAATGGCAGCTCAGGACATAGGGCCAGAAATAACATGGTTGGCTTAATGTATTTAGTAGAATAAAATCATATGAGGCCTTCCTCTGATTGACATATGCCATGAGTGTGTGAGAAAACAAAAAACAGTGGAAGCAACGCTTGGGAAAAGCTGAATAGATTGTATCAGATTCCTGCCTCAGTTTACAGCTTTAGTTGGCTACCTTTGTTCAAGAAGAGTTCCTAGAGACAAAGAACCGGTTTTAACATGGCTTCTGGTCTTAAGTAATAACTGCCTCTGAAGTTAATTACTTTAAAGGGATGTTTTAAAAAAACAACAACCTTGATGCTCATATAGAAAAGGCAAGCCAGCTAGTAAGTTGCCTGCAGGAATCTAGAATTACCGTATTTTTCGCTCTATTGGACGCAGTTTTTCCTCTCCAAAAATTGAGAGGAAACGTGTGTGCGTCCTATAGAGCGAATGCAGGCTTGTGCCATAGCAGCGCGCAACCCCTCCGGCAGGGAGAGGCTGCACGGGGCTATGGCTTCTTTAGCCCTGCGCAGCGTCTCCCGGCAAGGAGAGGCTGCACGGGGCTAAAGGGGAAGCCAAAACAGCGAGCGGGATGGATCCCGCTCGCTGCCTTGCCTGCTTCCATAGCTGCGCGCAACCCCTCCGGCAAGGAGAGGCTGCACGGGGCTATGGCTTCTTTAGCCCCACGCAGCCTCTCCCGGCAAAGAGAGGCTGCATGGGGCTAAAGGGGAAGGCAAAACAGCGAGCGGGATCCATCCCGCTCGCTGCCTTGCCTTCTTCCATAGCTGCGCGCAACCCCTCCGCAAGGAGAGGCTGCACGGGGCTATGGCTTCTGTAGCCCCACGCAGCCGCTCCCTGCAAGGAGAGGCTGCACGGGGCTAAAGGGGAAGCCAAAACAGCGAGCGGGATCCATCCCGCTCGCTGCCTTGCCTTCTTCCATAGCTGCGCGCAACCCCTCCGCAAGGAGAGGCTGCATGGGGCTATGGCTTCTTTAGCCCCACGCAGCCTCTCCCTGCAAGGAGAGGCTGCACGGGGCTAAAGGGGAAGGCAAAACAGCGAGCGGGATCCATCCCGCTCGCTGCCTTGCCTTCTTCCATAGCTGCGCGCAACCCCTCTGGCAGGGAGAGGTTGTGTGCAGCCTGTACGCTGCTCTTTGGGGCTGGGGGGAAAAATATTTTTTTCCTTGATTTCCCCCCCTAAAAACTGGGTGCGCCCTATGGTCCGGTGCGCCCTATGGTGCGAAAAATACGGTAACTTCTATGGGCTTTATGGGTGGGAAAAAAAAAAAGGAATCTGAAGGCACTCAAATCCAGTGGCGTAGCGTGGGGGGTGCAGGGGGGGCCGGCCGCACCGGGCGCAACTTCTGGGGGTTAGGGTTAGGGGGCGCAAATCCACGGGTTAGGGGGCGCAAATTACTTGCCTTGCCCCGGGTGCTGACAACCCACGCTACGCCACTGCTCAAATCAACTACGATTTTGCCATTAGCTTAAGTTCAAAGTAGAGCTTGAAATTTGCTTTAAATATTTATATGTTGCCTATCAACCGTAGCTTTTGAGGTGGCTTGCTACTGTTTCTTTTAAAATCAATAACAGTATACAAAAACCAGTTCTAAATCATCCAATACAATAGTCATCAGCAGATTAAAAAGAAGAGGAAACTTCATTTTAAAAAACACAATTAAAGCCCTAGGTATATTTTTATTGTTAAAGCCCTAGGTATATTGTTTTTTTTAAAAAAAAAACAAAAACCTGGTGCCTGAATAGAGTCCAAGTAGATTTTACAAAGATGGATTTCCACAGATGAGGTGCCATCATAGAAAAGGTGCCTCTCTCCGTTAGCTACCCAGTTGGAAGCACCCAGAACCCAATGAGGTCCTTAATGGTTGGACAGCCTCAAAGTAGGGTAGGCAGTCCTTAAAGATACTCAGCCCATTTATGGCTCAGGGTGGATCACAGCATAAAAGTACAAAATAGAACACCAAATACATAATAAGAACAAGAGCGGGAGTTCTGTTTTGCACTATATATAAATTAGGCCTTTAGCGTTGTGGCATCTACTCTTTGGGATTCCCTCCCATTAAATATTAGACAGGCGCCATCTAAGTTGTTTTTTCAGCATGTAGTGAAGACCTTCTTCCAACAAGCTTTTAAAATACAGCCGTACCTTGGTTCTCTAACAGAATGTGCTCTGGGAGTCTGTTCGACTCCTGAAACCGTTTGAAAACCAAAGCACAGCCCTGCAGCCAATCGGAAGCCACGCCGGGCGTTTGGCGTCTGAAAATCGTTCAAAAACCAGAACACTTCTGGGATTTGATCGTTCAGGAGCTGATTTGTTCAGGAGTCAAGGCGTTTGAGATCTGAGGTATGACTGTAGAAGCTTCTTTCACAGTTTGTAACTATTGCAGATGTTTTTTTTTTAAAAAATATTATTTGTGTTTGCCACCCTGGGCTCCTTTGGGAGTAAATAACATTAAAAAAGCAATAACATTACCAAGATTGTAACACATCAACCCACATATAAATAATTCATTTTCTTAGAAATCATAATCATCAGTTTGATTATGTGGGTGTTGGCTGTATCATGGAAAGAGGCAACAGTGAGATCCCATCCCATCCATGTTTGTCAACAAACTCCAGTGAAAGAAGCCTGACAAGCATAGGCAGGTAAATGTTTCCTAAGATAAGATTTCTAGAAATACCTGTTGTGCCTCTTGATTTATTTATTTAATAATAATAATAATAAAAAGACCAAGATGAATGAGAAAGGGAGATTGGGTAATAATGTGTGAGAGAGTTGAGTTAACGATATGTGGGAATCTGATAAAAGACTGTGAGTGTGCACTTTGTTTTTCAGGGCTTCCAGAAAAAAGGGAATTACAGGGAATTAACTTAACCTTGACATGCCACTTCCAGCAGACACAAGCCAAGCCTATACCCCTCCAGATGGAGGATGGGGATGGGCAGTGGTCTTTGGAGCATTCATATCCATTGGATTTTCATATGCTTTCCCCAAAGGCATAGCAATCTTCTTCAAAGAAATCCAAGATTTCTTTGGCACATCATACAGTGAGATTGCATGGGTGTCCTCAATTATGTTGGCTGCTACCTACGGTGGAGGTGAGTAAAACCAGAACAAAATGCTTTGATTTGACTTGGGAATGGAAGGTTGATCAACTCCACATTAACTTGAGAACAAGGGGCTGTTGGAATTACTTCGGGGGGGGGGAAATGCTCGTAATTGGTGTGTGAATTTACTAGTACTCATGATTAATCTGTGTTGCTCTTCACATTGGGACATATTTTGAGAAACATAGAAAACAACCACATAATCATAGTCAGATTATTCAGAGCTGTCCTTAAATAATCAGATGGGATTCTGTGTTGGTAGGGGTGATAAGTTTTCGAACTTTACTGAAGGCCGTGCAGTAATAAAAAACGGGGAAATTAAGTTGTTGAGCAATATAACACAATAGGTACTGAAGAGCAGTTTCATATAAATGCAAGAGGAGGAATTGTTTGCAAGGCACTACTGAGGTCAAATGTGCTTTGTATTAATTATTTCATTTTATTTTTAAATACGTACCAATTTTCACTGCAGCAATAACAAAGTGATTCACAATATGAAACAACGCAGAAATTCAGTGAAGTTAAAATTGTCTGTTAAAAAAGTTTTAAAAAATCAGAAGAGCAATTATTATCATTATATATATGTTTATTTATACCTCGCCTTTTTCCCTGACGGGAACTCATGGTGGCTAACAGATAAAAAAGAACACAGCTAAAAACACAGACAAATCAATAATTTTAAAACAAGTAAACATTGATAGAATTGAAACTATCTACGTATATAAAATCTGTTTAAAACATACAAATAATTACAATAAAAACAGCATGGCATCACCCCTTTAACTAAAAGCAGCCAATCTCCCTGCTGGAACAAGACAGTCTTCACTTGCTGGTGGATGGAGAACAAGGAGGGAGCCAGTCTGGCTTCTCTAGGGAGGGTGTTGCAAAGTCCAAAGGCCCTTTCTGACACCCCCACCAAGCTTGACTGTGAGGGTGGTGGGACCAAGAGAAGGGCGTCCCCTGAAGACCTCAAAACCCAGGCAGGTTCAAATAAGAGAGTACAGTTTTTTAGATAGCATGGACCTTAGCTGTGTAGGGCTTTATAGGTCAAAGTTCCAGGCACTTTGAATTGTGCCTGGAAACAGACCAGTAGCCTGTTCTAATGATGGAGTCATGTGCTCCCTATAACCAGTCCTGCCCAGCAATCTGGCTGCTGCTCTTTGAGCCAGCTGAAGTTTCTGAACGCTTTTCAAAGTGTAGAGCCCGTTACATTAATCAAAAGGGCGATAGAACGAATGCGCGTGTCACTGTGGCCAAATCTGATATCTCCAAGAACGTAGCTAGCACACTTTAACTGTGCAAATGCACTCCTGGCCATTGCAGAGACCTGGTCATCCATCCATGCTCAGGGCTGAGTTCAGGAGCATGCCCAAACTGCACACCTGTGTATACAGGGGGAGTGTTACCCCATCCAGCCCAGGCTGAATCCCCATTCTTTGTTCTGAGCAATAAGCAAGGATGTCTGGGACTGGTACCTAACTGAGTTCCTTTTCAATAGTGCTCTCAAAAGAATCACTGTATTTTGGGCATAGATTTTGCTGTTGTGCAAAACTGCAAAATTCTCAGTTTGCAATGTAAATAATTAGTTGATGTCATTGATATGTGTCAAGGGCCAGGGTGTGGTCTCATAGGACAGTGTACCCAAGTTACATTTCAGCCTCTGTTCTTCATCGGAAAAATGGGACTGATACTATGCCACTTCATAGAAACACAGTGAGAAGGCTTTGTAAAAAACATTTTGTACCACTAAAATCTTACACGAATTAACTACAGTGTCATCTTGCCTACCTTTGAAAATATTGAAATGGTTAGGTATTATTTGCAAAAGTATTATTTTCAGCTACTAAAGCTCTCAATTTATTTCAAGAATCACGATACCTGCAGCCATTTTCTCTGTTGCGCAAGGTGTTTTTCAGCATGTTTAGAAAAATACAGATTTCAGATTTTACTTTTCTTCTTTAGGCTTTTGGAAAACCTAAAGAAAATGGGATTGTTCATTTGCCATGTGGCTCTTACCACAAAATGATATTACCTTGGAGCGCAGGGTGTGTTTATGATTGTATTTAATTGCTTGCACCAGCAAGAATGAGTTTTCTCCAAATCCCTGTGTTATGTTTTTCTGTAGCGTTGCGTGTGCTGGTATGTCATTGCAAGACTGTGTCTACAAAGCTCATTTCATCTTGTTCAAAGTGTGTTTTCTTCAGGGTTGCAACAAATTCAGTTCACTTTCTTCTGACTTTTCCCCTTTTAACATTTTTATTGCAACATTCATTATTTCTGCCACCCTTTCGGGCCTCTTAAAGGTGCTATCTAGTATCCAACAATAAACTGCAAGATAAACAGAAATTGTTATAGTTCTGTTTAAGGACAATATGATATGAAGCCCAGGGAACCTAAAAACAGCTGGTTTAAGCGTTATTTTTTTTAATATAGATTTAAGAGACCTTGGTAATGCAACAGGGCACTGTGGAGTTAATGTTTGATTAAAGAGATTGTTCCAATTCTATGCAGCAATCTGTGCTGAAGCCAGAAATCCAGGATGATGCAGTTATATCCACAGAGGGTTATTGCGTGTGTAGAACATATAAAGTGGGGATGAATTATTTGTGTTTCCTCTTACCCTGGATACATTGACCCTGAACCCGTGACCAGAATCTGCACTTGAAAATAGGCTTCCCTGTGCAGATATGCTGCTGTAGCAAGAGTGCAAAGAGCAGCTGGGCCAGGGGCACCAACATTTCTATGTGTGTGACTCTCTTTGTCAGTCCTTCCCCCGCCCACAATCCTGCCCCTGTTGTCTAGGTCTGATCACATTTTAAGCAGGAAAGGGCAGGGCAGGCAGAGGGAATCAGTGAGTGCACTGGTAGAGGCTTCTTGGTGTGTGCAAAAGTTTCCTGAATTTGATTGATGATGTTGAATAGAGTAGCTGGAGTCACAACTCGCTTCTTCCAGAGCATCACGCTGCTTCTTATTCTTCTTTGGTGATCACTTGTAACCGAGTAAGATTGTCTTCCATAAACACAGTTTTAACAATGAGCCCGTAAGTGACTATGGAGGCTATTTCTGGATCTTCATGTCCTTCCACAGTGGGGACATTGGTTTCTGGGCGGGAGTTTATCACGGTGTGGATTTGCCAAGCGTCTTAGCACCTTTCTCCCTTGCATCCTGAGTTTGAGTGTCTTCACCAGTGTGGTGTAGTGGTTAAGAGCGGTAGACTTGTAATCTGGGGAACCGGGTTCGCGTCTCTGCTCCTCCACATGCAGCTGCTGGGTGACCTTGGGCTAGTCACACTTCTTTGAAGTCTCTCAGTCCCTCACCTCACAGAGTGTTTGTTGTGGGGGAGGAAGGGAAAGGAGATTGTTAGCCACTTTGAAACTCCTTAGGGTAGTGATAAAGCGGGATATCAAATCCAAACTCTTCTTCTTCTTCTTCTTCTTCTTCTTCTTCTTCTTCTTCGTCCATGACACCTTTGGTAAAGCACTCGTAAGCCAGTGTTTCCCAGTTGTCAGTGTTTATGCTAGTGTGCTATGGAATCAAGATCATGAGGGCCCTTCCTTACATCTCTTTAGGCTCCAGTCCAAAACATTCTTCTTATGCCAGGCCGTTGGATAATTAAATAATCCATGGTCTTTTAAACTTAAGTATGCGCAGGATATTGTTTTTGTTTGTTACTGTTACGTATTTTTGAGTTTTTATATTGTAAACAGCCCTGTGATCCTTGGATGAAAGGTGGTATAGAAATCAAACAAATAAGCAAATAATCCATGAGACTTGGACTGTTCAGAAAAAACAGAGAGAGGTCTGCACTGCTGCAATGCTAAATTAGCATAAACTCTGTAGTGCAAGAAGCAGCGTCACAAAGTAAGGAGAATCCAACATTTTGCACAACATTTAATCAGTGACTTCCCCCCAAAATGACCACGAGGAAGCTTTTTCAAAGACCAGTTGTCATGTGGGGGAGGTTTTTGATGGGGTGGTAGCTGTGATCCCAACAGAAATTGCCCTGCCTCTGCATGACAATTAGGATTAGGGGACAAAAGCTGTTGCTGACATTTTCTAAGCTTGTTTGCCATTTGGGGCCAATGAGGTGAAACACCTGGGGAGGGGACAAGAAAAAGAGGGAGACAGGGGAGAGAGCGCACAAAGAAAGAAAGAAGCAGGAAGATTGTCATTACCCCACACTCTGTTCATTTGTTTTTCTCTAAGAGAAAAAATGAACAGATGATGAATGGGTAATAGGAGCGTCCTATGTTCCCATACCCTTTTACTGAAACAACTCGGCCCATTCTCCTTTACTTTGGGATGCACTTCTGAATGCTCAGCCCATTGAAAGTAATGTAATGTGGAGCAATGGTGTCTCCATTCAGGATACATTTCCTGAAGCAGTGACAGCAAAGCAGTGAAGCAATGTCTGCAAGTAGGCATACGGCCATTGTTGAGATGCCTGAAATGACAACCTTCACAACAAAAATTCAACATAGCACTTCACTGTAGAGAAAGAGCTTTCACAAATGCTAGAAGAAGAAGAGGAGGAGGAATTTGGATTTGATATCCTGCTTTATCACTACCCGAAGGAGTCTCAAAGTGGCTAACATTCTCCTTTCCCTTTATCCCCCACAACAAACACTCTGTGAGGTGAGTGAGGCTGAGAGACTTCAGAGAAGTGTGACTAGCCCAAGGTCACCCAGCAGCTGCATGTGGAGGAGCGGAGACGCGAACCCGGTTCACCGGATTACAAGACTACCGCTCTTAACCACTACACCACACTGCCTCTCTTATAGCAACACTGTATCTCGGGCGGTGTGGGCAGTTCCCCTCTACAGGGTTCTGAGCCGAGTGGCCCAAAATTGAGAAGATCAATGTGGGGGCACCAAATTTTGGCATTGCACAATGTGCCTTATTATGAAATATTACAGAAGTCTGCCCCTACTTACAGCGTGAAAATACAAGCATATTGTATATTGAAGCTACTGAGTAGTAACCAGTCACAGTGCAGGGGTTTCAAGGCCTAATGCACTAATCTAGGTATGATAACCAAATACAGGCCCCAAAACAACCAAGAGTCTAATGACTATTTTTGAAAATTAAACATTTGATTCGATACTTCATTCAGAGCAAATGGAGAATTGCTGTTTGCCTCTCCTTGGTTCCCTGAAATATACATGAAATGTTCAACAGTTTCTGCCTGACTTCCAGCTTTTGGCCATGTGTCCCCCTCCCCAACATCATATAATGTGGCATTATATAGCTACCTGCAAACAAATGAATATGCACAGCTATGGTATATTTTCTCAGCAAGGCTCCTCATTTTTTTTTAAAAAAAGAATTTGTATGCATCGCTGTAAGATAATACAGGAGAAAAACAACTATGGTGAATAAGTGCCATAACACGAGTGATGCAATTTTGCGCTGATTTATGCCAGCTGATGCCGGTTTGTCTTTGAGTGCTGTGCTGGGTGGAGGGGAAACTGATGTTCGGTCTGATAATAATAGCTTTCATTTGCAGATAGCATAGATGTGCTTGCCTTCATTTCTTCCTCATGATCCTCATTACAGAGGCACTCTGCCGTTGGACGTCACTGTTTGCATGGCGTGCTATCTGCTCCTCCTTTGTTTTGCGAACAAGGCAGAACAAATCTATTTGCCTGAAGCTATTTTCAAAAGCAGCATTTGAAGTGATGTGCAAATCATATGGGGACCTGATGTTAACCCTTGCCAGCTTTGTTGAGGATATATAGTCCTAAGCCATGGCTACATTTGATGAAAGCTGAGAAATTTGTATCCGCTGGCTCCCACTTTGCAAGCTGGAGTTTGCAATGTTAACATCTTCATTGGGCTCACCTGTAAGATCAGGGAGGAATTTAAGGGCACTGGAGCTTAAAAAAAAAAGCATTGTGTTCTGTACGCTGCCTGGGATCTTCACTCTGATGAAAAGCCATTTTGAAGTCTGTTGGGACTCCACACAATGGTTGTGATGCTGTGTGGGGAACTGGAGAGGAGTCGGCAACTTCCCCAGGTGCAAGCAGCAGTGCTTTCCATTCGCACGTGGGGCACTTTATATCGAAGCCATTCACTAGTGTAATTAACATTGTTAAACAATATCAAGTCTTGTGTTGAACCTCTGAAAGTTTCAGAAAGTTCTCAGATTCATTTAACTTTCATCACATGAACAATTCTATTGAAATCATGGGACTAATCACAAGTTGAGCATTAAAAACAAACAAGCAACTTTTTCAGGGAAAGTGTCTGTTCACCACTGTTCCCACTCTAGGGGTTTTTCTTCAGCTTGTCTTTTCCTCCTTTTAAATGCTATGTTCCTAGCCTTCAATGGTCTCAGAGAACAATTTGCAAACATGCGACATTGTTGGCTAAACCGGTGGCATGTTAAAGGGGACCAGAGTTACCTTCTAACCGTCAGAAAGTGAAATTTACTGAACTAGTGGTTTTCAGTTTCTTTTCATACCGATCTATCCCAGTTCATGGGGTCTGAACTGGCAGGGACTGATGAGCAACAAGACCTTGGGGTCATAGTGGATGGTTTGATGACGAAGATGTTGACCCAGCATGTGGCAGATCCTGTACTAGGGATTGTTAGGAAAGCAATTGAAAAAAAAAAATATCAATATCATAATTTTTAGAACTCTGTGGTGCAACCACATTTGGAATAGCGTCTCCCGTCTGGGTGATTTCACCTCAAAAAGGAGATGGTGGCGTTGGGAAAAGTTCAGAAAAGAGTGAGCAGAATGATCAAGGGAATGGGGCAATTCCCCTATGAGGAAGTTTGGGACTTTGTAGTGTAGTTAAAAGGTAAAAGGTGGCATGATAGAAGTTTAAAAAATTATGAATGGTGTAGAGAAAGTGTATAGAGAAAAGTTTTTCTCTGTATCACATAACACTAGAATTCGTGGACATCCAATGAAGCTAAATGTTGAAAGGCTCAAGAAACATACAAAAACACTTCTTCACGCTGTGCATAAGCTACAGAATTTGCTCCCACAGGATGACTATGAACTTGATGGATCTAGAAGAGCATTGGAGACATTCATGGAGGATAAAGCTATCAGTGCCTATTGATGGCTATACATTGCCTCCATTGTTGTAGTCAGTAACCTTCTGAATACTAATTTCTGGAAACCATAGAGAGGTAGAGTGCTCTTGTGCTTGGCTCCTGCATGTGAGAACAGGATGCTGGACTAGATGGGCCTCTGGCCTGATCCAGCAGGCTCTCCTTAAGTCTGTATCAAATCTCTATGGTAAAAAAAGAATTCTTCTTCCAGATTCACAAAGATTCTCCTGCAGGCTTAATAAAGCTCAGTCACAGGGCTGCCGTGTTTCTTGTAACATGTACTTCTGCCCTAACAAAGGAACGTCTTTGCGAACAATGTTCTGTAAGGGAAAAACAACTAGCTTCTGCAATCCTGTACATACTTACCAGCTGCAATCCTGCACATACTTACCTGGACCAGATGAACCTTATGGTCCCTTCCAACTTTACAATTCTATGATTGTATGAACTAAATCAGGTTTACTTTTGAGCAGACATTTTCAGGATTGCACTGTCCACCAAGCAAACTTAATTTTGGAGTTTTCAGTCTCAAGCAAGGAACATATTCTCAGACATTGGGCTGTAGGTCACTCTGCTCCACCTAGGAAGCTGGAAGCTGACAGGTGACCTTGAGCATTTTCATCCAAAACTTCATAGCTATGCTTTATTATTCAGCTGCTACTATAAATTACAGTGGCAGGTACAGAAAGCCCATTCTAACTGGGGCATAAATAAAGCATTAAAATAATGCACCTCATTCTTTAGCCCATTGAAAGATGTGTCTGAGGATTCAGCTTAGCATTCAGAGATCTGCTTCAAGTTCCACTGACATTAAAGGTAAAACAGTGAATATTTGCAGATCAAAATAACACATTTGTTTTATTTAATGCATATTTGGAATTTTGCTATTCCAGGTATACATTTCTGCTGCCTGTACTAAAAAAAAATTATATGGGCATTCCTAATTCCCTTATAATTGATATGTACATTTATTCGTATTTGAAAGCTGAAAACATTTTTTTAAAACACACAGACAAACACACATTAAGTACACAATTCAATCCCAAGTCAAGTACTTGAACAGTCTAGGGATTTTAACAGGAAATTCTGTAAGCAAAAGTTGGATTGCATCCTTAATTTTAAAAGACAAACGTTTAAACATAATAATTTTTTTCCCTTTATTATAATACTGCATTTCCTTTGCTTTTGTATGCAAATCCAAGTTTTGGTTTGCAACAGTAGTGTCTGCAATCTTTTTTTAAAAAATTAAGTCACACAGATTTAGGTAAGTTTCTTACCTAACACAGTTATGATTAACAATAACAATAGCACTATCAATTCAGGTGAAATGTTCCTGTGTTTTGACGCTGCACTACAAACCACAATTTTGCCTTTCACTGTGGCTATCGAGGTCGCTGGACAGGAATATAACAGAGCTGTGATAGACTTAAAATATAATATGAACAAGCAGTGGAGAGGAAGGTTAACTCTTTGCAACCAGGCAGGGCCGTAGCTAGGGGGTGTTTTCCACTCTCTTTAAGAAGCCCAGTGGGAAAAGCTCCAAATTGTATCTGCTGAGGAGCATAGCAAAAAACAGGAACTGACCCAAGCAAGTGGAGTCTGACTCTGTTTGTGTACTTTTTTCCTTCTTCCCACAGTTCTGCACCTTCTTCCTCTAAAGCCTTCCTTCCTCTCTGGCTTCTTGCTCCCCACACCTGAGCCGCTCACAGACCAGATCAAACAACTGTCTTCTAAGTAGGGTTGGCACTAGGGATGGTGTTCACTGTTGTGTCTCTGCTTTTTTAGTGCTTGTGGTTCTCATCATGCTAGTTTGCTTTGTGCTAATACTTGGTCTGCTTTAGTAGTATGGGCTTGGCCCATAGCAGGTATATAGACCATGAACTTGACTGCTTTTGAGCTTTAGCCTGTTGAGGTCTAGCACAAAAATATTGTGACTGATTTTGACTCCACTGGAAATCATCTGGCCCCAGGACACACAACATAGGAGAATGGTGTGTTTTTAAAACTTCTTTTTATATTGTATATTCTGTATTCTGTAGTAAGATACGCAGCTGTTTATTTTGCCTCCACAAATAAATAGCATTTGATATTCTACATTATTATTTAAACCCCGCCTCCAGTCCCCTGCACCTGAACCAGCCCACCTCCCCATGGGATCTTTTCGTTGCCTTCAGGCAGTGAGTTAAGCAGAGCTTCTGAGGTTAAGCTCGGAGAATGAGAACAGTGGTGACAATTTTGGAGTTAAGAATTTATTGAAGATTGCTCATGTGCTCTTGCATTTGAAGCAGGAGATCAGTTTGTGCACAAATGTGCAAGCTCCATCAGAGCTTGCACTTCTCACTATTAATTAACTTTATCCCTAGTCAGTGCTGCCACTAATTTTTACCTAGCATGCTGTTACTGGATTCAGCGGAGACCCTGATTTCTTTAAGGCAAGACACATCTGTTCAGTTAAGGATGGAGACTGACAGAAACAATCTGGAGGCATGGCCATAGCCAGGATTTTTTTTAGGGGGCAGAACCTCAGATTTGTATTGATATGTGTTGATTTTTAGGGGGGGCAGCTGCCCCCTGCCTCCCCCTTGGCTGCACTCATGTCTGGTTTTAACATCATGGGCACTATTTAAAACAAGTGGTGTAAAAATGCAGGAACCTGAGTGATCTCATAGAAGTGCTATAATGAGATTGCACCTTCCAGACCTTATACTAGTTGTACAAGCCATTCATGCCTGTGTTTTATCATTCTATGATGTTTTTATTGTATTTCTGGTGTACGCTGCCACAATATTTTCATTATGAGTTGGTGGTTTATAAACGCCCTTATAAACAAATGTTAGCGGGAGTGTATACTCAAGAGAAGAACTCAAGTCCAATTTTTGGCAGTTTAAAGGGCCCAGTTAGCAAGTGGTGGTTAGCAGACAGCAGGCTGCTTGACATTTTGGAGAGCTGCCGTCAGCTAGGCAGACAATTAGTCTGACATGATCTAAGGCCGCTTCATATGTTCCAGAACAAATTCTGGACATTGAAAGACGAGCTCATATTTTCCAGTTGATAACAAGGTTGTTCATCTGCTTCAATTCCCACCCCTTCCTCTATATTAAAGGGGGGGAATGGCAGGCTGGAGTTGGCATTATAGTAAGTAAAAGAACCTTTAGTCATCTCAGTCACCCATCCAGAGAAATTTGCACCCCAAACTAGTTGCTAAACTCAAAACATGGAACATTTCCTTTCACATTTTTGGGAGAACCTCCCCCCCCGCCAGAGCTTTTATTTCTGGCACAGTTATTAGCAAACTCCATGTCAGTGACAAAGAAATGGCAGTATCTCATTAGCTTGTCAATGCTGGTGCTATTCATTCATTTGAAAATACACCAAAAATAATTGTAGTGACTTACTGCAAAAGGTGTGCAGATGATCTGCGGACTGCCTTGACTACAGAATCATGGGTTTTGCATAACACACAATGCACTGGGCGATGCCCTACTTCTTAGCCTCTGCTCATTATCTGTTAGATGGGAATAATAGTCACCTACCTTAGCGATTCTTTACAAAACCTACTATTCTGAATCAGCAACGTTTGTCAATAGAAACAAGCCTTTCCAACCACTCATGAGTTGTTCATAGGTCAGTTGCCTTTGCAGGCAAATCTGCACTCTTTCTGCCTCTTGTCTACCAGAAATGATGCACTGGTATTATTTACATAATCACTCATGCTGGGGTCCAGCAGAGTTGAGCCAAGAGCATTTTGAAGGGCTCTTGAAAAGGATTCTCTTTCTATTAAGACGATAACTCACCCTTCAATGTGTAAACAAATGAGAGGTCACGTCGAATTAAGAGGTTGCTACTCCCGTATGTCTGATCCTGCAAAGAAGCCTTAACCAGACTCTTCCAACGATGAATAAAGGAGTATTGCACCAAAAAAAGCACTTTGCTAGGTTCCAATGCTAAATGAATGTCCATTAATGATGCAGCGGGTGAAGCAGGAAGGCTACAGCTGCAATTCCCCAATCGGTAAACAGGGTTATACTGTTTTAAGTCCAGGCTCTTCATGCTCACTTGTTTGCAGAATACAGCTGTAAACCTTTCTCAGTAGGTCAAATCAGCACTAATTCCACTGAGTTGTAGCTTGCATCCATAGTAGGGCTCTTTTAGTACAGAGGCATTTCTTTCCCACCATGAAGTGAAACAGAGGGAAATGCCCATCAGCAGGGACAAAATAATCTATCATATCTGTACATAGTTATCTATATAAAAATCATCCTATAAATCATCCTTAAAAAAATCCTTTAATAATCTAGCAACGATCCACAACCAGGATCCTTCTTCAGCACCTACTCAGCAGTGAATCTCATTTGACAATGACCCCTCACAATGTATTCTTAGTGATTTCTGGCAATATTAACTCAGTTTTCATCATGGCTGATGCATTACTGACAAATTGATCTCACCATTGCCCCTTAATTATTTTATTTATTTTCTTTCATAAAAGTTATATACAGTGATACCTCGGGTTAAGAACTTAATTTGTTCGGGAGGTCTGTTCTTAACCTGAAACTGTTCTTAATCTAAGGTACCACTTTAACTAATGGGGCCTCCTGCTGCCGCCACGCCACCAGAGCGCAATTTCTGTTCTCATCTTGAAGCAAAGTTCTTAACCCGAGGTACTATTTCTGGGTTAGCGAAGTCTGTAACCGGAAGTGTGTGTAACCCGAGGTACCACTGTACCAGTTGATTATACAAAAACAACAACCACAACCCTCAAAGTGGTTTTAATAAGTAATTTAGTAATTAGCATGTTTCTGTGTCCCATGGTAGAAGTCACAAGAAGGAAGCTTTTAATAATAGGTAGAATAGATTCCTCCCAAAGCCTCAGTAGCACTTTGCCTATATACCCTGGACAGGTTGGTGCTGCTGTTGCATTTTCAGCAGGGGAAACTGCATAGATTCAGGTGAGTGAACAAAGGATCACAATACAGGACTGAACAGCTGACATTATTGCACCTGAGCAAGGAATAGTTTCTGTGCCAAGCATCTACAGTACCTGCCTGGAAGCCATACACCCATGCTAAGAAATGCTAATCTCAAGTGTTGGAAGATGGATTGTGTTTACTCAGTGGCGAGGGAAATGTATTCTTGTGCACAGAATGACTTCCCATTATTATTGCTTCACATGCTATGAACGTATGAAGCTGTCTTTTCCCAAATCACATCATCGGTTATTTTCACACAGTGCTTTTTACACCAACAAGCATCAGTCCTGCCTCCTCCCTTCCAGGCTCCTGACAGGAGTATTTCCCTGGCCCTCTCCTTGGATATGCTAAGGACTAAATCTGGGACCTTTTGCATACAGATCATGTGCTTTGCAACTGAGCTATGGCTCTTCCAGGTAATCCCTGGATCAAACTGAGTCCTGCATTTAATTCCAGCAATAGAAGAAGAAGAAGGGAAAAAACATGCCAGGGTTTTTGTTTGTTTGCTTCCTTGCTTCCCTTCACTTTTTCATTCCTTTTCTCCTGTGACAGATGATTAATAGAATACATAGAATTCAAAAGGTCATTGAGAGGAAGGAGTGTAGTAGTCGGTTGTCTCGCTGACTTAGTCTGGGACCTGAAAAGAAGGCCAGTGCATTTGGTTATTTCTGTCTGCACTAAAAACCCCACACCCAGTTCTTGAAGGCATGCAAACAAGTGTTCTTAGTGGATTTGGGGTGTGATGAGGAGCCAGAGTATTCCCTTTGCCCCCCCCCCCCCAATTAGAAAGAACCAGACAGCAGGCTGCTTGATGCCACTGATTGTTCTCAGATGGCATTTCTCCCTCTGCCCCCCCCCGCCCAGTTTTTGAAAGCTGTAGGCCGTATTGATAAAACCTTCAGCAGCTGTTGACTAGACCTCAGAGGCTACTTCCTCAACTCTAAAACTTTTCAGGGGAATCTGTCAACGCTTCTGCCACTTCTGCGGCAAGGTCAAGACAAGCACATGGCAGCTTTATGAGTGTGCCAGATCCTTGCCAGCTGTTTCTCCTAGCTTCATTTTCACCTAACTCTCCTAATTAAGAAACAGAAATATATGAATCCCCCCCTTTCCGTTTAACAGTAAGAAAAGAAGACACTTAGCATGAAGGACAACCACCGCCCCCAATTTTTTTTTGATTAAGGAGTATGGAATCAGGGCCTAAACCTGCACACAACTAAGATGATATGAACCACTCTTTTGATTTCTCTCTCCCTGCTATCTAAAGTGGCAGTTAGGCGTCATAAACAGCAAAGAGTCTTGTGACACTTTTTCAGATTAATAGATGCACTTGTGGAATAATCTTCCAGCAGCTTGAGCCATGCTTCATCAAATGAATGAAATGCGCTATTTCAGTTGGCAGATTATGTGAAATGACATTTCTGTTCAAAGCTGAAATGTATACAGTGTAAGCTGAGTAAGCGTTTGCAACTTCTGCAATTGGTGATATTCCTAGCTGTGCCAATTATTGCTGTTGTGCATGGCCACCGTATCTCACTAACTTACACTTGAACCTTGCATGGAAATGTCACAGACCTACGGGACCTCCTGCATTCCATGGCCCTTTGGCTTCCCTCTTTCTATTTTCTCTCTTTCTCCATAGCTATAGCTAATATGGATAATCTGCCAACTGCACATAATAGCCTGTGCGCCTTTGGTGAAGTAGGTTCTGATCTTATACCAGACTCCTTTCATTAGACCTTGTAAGTTCCACAAGGATCGTTCCTGTTTTTTGTTGCGGCAGGTTAACACAGCCGCTCCTCCCGTGTTCGAAATCACGTTTTCATTTTCACAAAACAACTTTGCTTTCCTATTTCGTTGCGGTAGCTCTCATGTCACCTTGCTACAGTCATGTTCACTGAAGGATGCTTTTTTAAAAAACGCCTTGCATTAAATTCCGGGTGATATGGCATTACCCAAAAATTGTGGGTGACATCGTGCTTTCTGCCAGGAACCTATGGAAGAACCTGGGCATGACTATAGAGTGTTTTTTCAGGTATGGTTTGTTCTTCATGGAGGCAAAAAAATAAGGGGAGGGGAAGGATAGGGCTAGGATATATGAGTGCAACATGACATGGAAGAACCTTGCACTGATAGCATATTTTCACCCACATAGCTTGTCCTTCTGGCTTGCAGATGGGAGGAGACTACGAGGCATCTGATGTACAGGGGTTGAATGTCATGTTGATCATACAGTGGTACCTTGGGTTAAGTACTTAATTCGTTCTGGAGGTCCGTACTTAACCTGAAACTGTTCTTAACCTGAAGCACCACTTTAGCTAATGGGGCCTCCCGCTGCCTCCGCGCCGCCGGAGCACGATTTCTGTTCTCATCCTGAAGCAAAGTTCTTAACCTGAAGCACTATTTCTGGGTTAGTGGAGTCTGTAACCTGAAGCGTCTGTAACCTAAAGCGTATGCAACCCGAGGTACCACTGTACTATGCCCCTGAAAAAAGCACCATGCAGCCATGCTCTTGCTAATAACCTGAGCATTATTGAATCTTTGAACGATTTTAACCAGTTTACCTTGAAAGAATATTTCCCCCCCAGAAATGTTTGTTTTGGGGATTCATTTTCCTACTTTGATTTTATTTATTTTTTAGGTCCCATCAGCAGCATTTTGGTGAACCGCTACGGTAGCCGACCGGTGGTCATATTGGGAGGCTTGCTATGTGGCATAGGGATGGTTTCTGCATCCTTCTGCACAAGCATTTTTCAACTGTACTTATGCGCTGGGCTTATCACAGGTAATAATAAAACCTTTCTTTACTTTCCTTAGAATAATGGACACTGTAGATGTCTAATGAAGATTTTATTTATTTATTTATTTATTTTATTAGTTTTTTAACATATCATTTTCAACAGTAATTAAACATACTTTTACATCTTATTCAATTTTTTTTACTTCCATCAGTCCTGTCTGAAAATTTTCCAATCTAATCTCTTAGTATTACATTTCAAACTCATAACCAGTATCTCTATCTTTTCCTACTTTGTAACACTTCGTATATTTCTCCTTACAAAACTTCTTGTAGTCCTACTAGCATAATTTGTTGATTACAGTTGCTCTTCAAATAATTCATATACTTCTTCCAATCTTCTGTAAATCTCTGGTCCCACAGGTTTCGAATCCTTCCTGTCATTTTGTCCAATTCTGCATAGTCCGTTAATTTTGTCCACCGTTCTTCTTTCGTCGGAATTTCTTCTTGCTTCCATTTATGGGCTAACAATACTCTTGCTGCTGTTGTTGCACTAATGAGGAGATTTAAATCAGTCCTCACCAACATGGTGCTCTCTGGATATTTTGGACTACAGTTTCTGCCACCCCCAGCCAGCACAGCCATGCTGGAATGGGCTGATGGAAATTGTACTCCAAATAAACAAATGTGAGGGTGGCGAGACCGAGAGAAGAGCCTCTCCTGAGGATCTCAGAATACGGTCTTTTAGATACCTTGGGCCTTATAGGGCTTTATAGGTCATCACCAGCACTTCGAATTGTGCCCAGGAATAGACTGGTAGCCAGTGGAACTGCTGTAACATATGCTCGCTATAGCCAGCCCTAGTTGGCAACCTGGCTGCAGCTCTTTGAACCAGTTGAAGTTTCTGAGCACTTTTCAAAGGCAGCCCCACCTAGAGCACGTTACAGCAATCCAAATGGGATGTAATTAAGGCGTGTGCCACTGTTGCTAAATCGGACATCTGAAGAAATGGGTGCAGCTGGCAAACTAGTTTTAACTCTGCAAATGCACTTCTGGCCACTGCTGACATCCATCCTCGGGGCTGAGTTCAGGAACACAGCCAAACTGCTAGTGTGTGTCTTCAGGGATAGTGCTACCCTATTCAGCACAGGCTGAATCCCTATTCCTTGTTCTGCCTTTCGACTGACCAAGAGCAAAATTATCTGTTTAGAGGAGGAGGAGTTTGGATTTGATATCCCGCTTTATCACTACCCTAAGGAGTCTCAAAGCAGCTAACTTTCTCCTTTCCCTTCCTCCCCCACAACAAACACTCTGTGAGGTGAGTGGGGCTGAGAGACTTCAGAGAAGTGTGACTTGCCCAAGGTCACCCAGCAGCTGCATGTGGAGGAGCGGAGACGCGAACCGGTTCCCCAGATTACGTGTCCACCGCTCTTAACCACTACACCACACTGGCTCTTTAGAGTTTAAACATAACACATTACGTTACTTGGTATACTAAATCCTTTTACTGCATCTGAATTCTGAGGGTCTTTTTTTCTTTCCTATACTCAACTTATCAGCCTGGCTTTAATTTAAAAAATAAATAAATTATGAATAGGTTGAAGGAAACAAAGATGGCTGTTGAACCCCTTCAACTCACACATGAATCATAGTTTCTAACAGCGCAAGGAAATACTTTGTGTGTGTACTTATAAAACACAAACATTCCACCATAAAATTTCCATCTGCATATATGGCATATGTGGTTTTTTTTGCTGCTGCCATGATTGCACAATTAAGAGTTTTCTTGAATAGATTTTCCTTCAACATTATTCTGTGCATAGGCATGCTCTGAGTCTAGTTTGTGGATGGAATCTTGAGAGTAGTTGGGGAATTCATTGGCATACAGGAAATCTTTTTACTCCTATCAAGCTTTTTTAAAAAACAAAAGAAGCTTAGAATCCAGATTTCAGATCTCATGCTGAGTGGACAATTGTTTTGTTTCTGAGAAAGAAGTTTCAACATGCACAGCGAACTACCATTTCCAGGATTCTTTGGGGGATGGCAAGAGAGTTCAACTTCTATACAACTGAGAAAGATACACAATCTTGTGCAACCTTCTCAGCCTTGGATCCACAGTTGTGGTTGGACTACAACTCTCATCAGCCCTAGCTAGCAGAACCAGTGGTCAGGGATGACGGGAGTTGTAGTCCAACAACATCTGAGGACCCAAGGCTGAGAAAGGCTGGTCTAGTGACCACAGTCTCCTCAGGAGCTGAAATCATAAAGGTTTTCTAGCTTTTCTTTCTCATTTCACTTCATCTTTTGATGAAGAAGACGGTTGTCTGCAAAAGCTCATATCACCTTAAGCTCTTCTTCTGCAACCAAGGAATTAAAAAGCAAGATTCCAGCACAGGACTGCTGGATTAGAACATATCCAGAAGTACGATTTCCTATCCTATTACAGATAATTAACATGGCTGCTCTAGCTTGATTGTATTATCAGTAATTACTGCTGGTGTGAATGATCATTTGTGCTTATTCTGCATACATTTAAGCTTTAATCGAATTGTCACAGACAGCTCTTTTTGCATTTCATTGCCATTTGACCCCAGAGTTTATCATTTTCCTCTCTAGCCTACAATAAATCTAGTCGCAAGGGGGCATGAGGCTCCTTTGTTGTCTTTGATGCTGAAAGGACAACATGGCTACCCCTCTGGGGCACATAGTCAGTCCCTGCTGTGCCGGAACACATTTTGCCTTCTGAATTAATTCTGTATCTGTCTCTGTTACAGGACTTGGCCTTGCCCTCAACCTCCAGCCTTCCGTGATCATCATTGGAAAGTACTTCCTGAAGAGACGTCCAATAGCCAACGGCCTTGCCATGGCAGGAAGCCCTGTCATGCTTTGTACGCTCGCTCCCTTGAACCAGCTCCTTTTCGACAACTTTGGGTGGAGGGGGAGCTTTTTCATTCTTGGGGCGATACTACTGAACTGCTGTGTGGCTGGAGCCCTCTTCAGGCCCATCGGCGCACCAGCTGGCCCCTCTGAGAGGCAAACAAATAAACAAGCAAAAGAGACTTTAGCTAAAGAACAGCTTGATATGGGCATAGCTGAAATGGCTGACCCTGGAGACGAAGAGAAGGAGGACAAAGACTGTTGCGAAAACTTTAACAAATTCCTTGATTTATCTCTTTTCAAGCACAGGGGCTTCCTGATCTATTTGGTAGGGAATGTGCTGATGTTTCTGGGCTTTTTTGCCCCTATTGTTTTTTTGGCTCCTTACGCAAAGCACCTTGGGATTGATGAATATTCAGCAGCTTTCCTCCTTTCAATTCTGGCAATAGTCGATATGATAGCTAGGCCAGCTACGGGGCTCATTGCCAACAGCAAGTGGGTGAGGCCAAAGATTCAGTATTTCTTCAGCTTCTCCATTGCTTTTAATGGAACATGCCATCTGCTGTGCCCATTAGCAACAGGCTATACAGGCCTGGTAGTGTATTCCGTCTTCTACGGGCTGGCCTTTGGTATGGTTTGTGCAATGCTGTTTGAAACTCTCATGGACCTGGTTGGTGCCAGCCGATTCACAAGTGCTGTTGGACTCGTCACTATAGTGGAATGCTGCACGATCTTACTTGGGCCACCTATTGGGGGTAAGGATATTTCTATACTTCCGCTCACTATTCTGTTTGCAGTTGGGAACAGATCTGTGAATTCTTTGACTTTGAGTAGGGGACATCAGGTTTTAAGGTGCGCTCCACCACTTTGAATGTTGACCCACTGTTTCTTCCTTTTGCTGGACCAAACCCTCTTTCCTTGAGTTTTCCAGCAATGCAGTTTCAATGGGACATGCTCCCAGGTAAGATTGCAGCTTGAATGGCAACTGATATAAGATGGCTGGCCACCACATGCTCTGTCCCCTGGTTGAAAATCCAGCACAGCTAGAAAGTTCAGATCCCCTGCAAACTAATTGAAATGGGTCTTGCGGAGCTGAAGTGCCAAATCAAAGTTTCTTCTTCAAACAAATTCAGATGAACATAGTGAAATCTCTGCTGCTTAAATGTAAGGTATTTGCAAGCTAAGATGTAACTCCACTGCTGAGATGTAACCTTGCAAGACCTTTGGTTCCACTGCTGGCAAACTAAGTAGATAATACTTAGATTAGAATTTGAAGAGTGACACATGGTTGTTATCTTTATATGTTTGCTTTTAGGAATTAAGACCTTTTAAATTTAGTAGCACTTATTTCTGAACGGACATGTGAATTCTAGCCACGTTTCTCTCCCTCTGTCATACCAAGAATTCAGGTTGGGCAACAGGGGTTTTATATGGTCAATTACACAGGAAGCTACACAGGCCTCTCTTCAGTAAACAGTTCTAAACAAATACGAAACCTTCCAGAGCTGGGAGGTGGGGTGAGTGGAGGAGCTGGTTGCAAGTGCTGGAATCCACACATGTTTTTATTGTATAATCCCTGCTTTTTGTTCTTCAGAGGTATAACTGTTCAATCAAAAGCTTATTAACTTCAAACAACAACAGAAACCCTCTGATAGCAAAATCTGCTCTCTACAAGAAAGCTCTGCAGGAGTTGTGTCTATATGACAAAACTTTTGAAAGGGGGAAATTAGATGCAATATTCATGTAACTTTCAGAATAAAATCCCTTTAACCATCCACAAATGCAGTGACAGTGGGTTTCAGTTTTATTACAATGCGAGCATCATTTCATTAGTAGGTGCCATTCCTGTTAACACTTGTTGTGTTCTGCAACTACCGTATGAGGCCATGTTCCCAGATAACTTGCTAGAGCTATAATTCCAAAATGGTGGTACCCCTAGGAAACAGCCTTGTGGATAAACTTTTGGTGGTGACTTGTGATATTAACTTGGCATGTGCACACCAAGTAGGTAGTATTTGCTAGCATTTTAACTGCAGCCCATTGATTAGTGCTAAGATTTATTTATCTGCCTTGTAGGAGTGCATCTAAGCAGCATTCAACTCTACTGTTTAATTACACCCTGACATAAATGGTGCCGCTTCTCATGAATGAAATTTGAGTTGTTGCAACAGCCAGCTCTCCTGCTTGGTTCCATTGCTGTAAGATGCAAAGTCAGCCCATAATAAATCTATTCTAATCAATGAAGGGGCTGGTCTGGTATGCATTACCAAGGCCTCTAACCCAGCACTTTCCCACTGGGTACTTACTGCAGCACCAGTGCAAGGTGCGCTAAGATGAAAAGAGAATGGAATTGAACTAAGATGGAAGAGAAATGGATGTGATGTACCAGGGTGGTAGTAAATTGCAAGTGGTTGATCTTAGTAAATGTTTTTGGGAACTGCTACAGTATTCTACACACTTATGAGAGCAGCAGTCTTTTGCAGACCTTGGGGTAATTTAGCTAGATAGAATTTAGCTAGATAGAAATCTTTGCATAGTTATAGGATAAAAGTTGCCTCTAAACTTTTTTTTTTTTGTCTCAGTGCTGGACTAAAGAGAGTATTTCAGCAAGGACATAAATGACCAAATATGGTAGGCTCAGTAATATATAGGATCAATGCTATCCTCTCACTGCACAGGGTTGGATTCTGTGGTTTGCATTCACAAATTAACAGAACAGCTCCACTTGCATTTAAATTTACTTTATCCCTATGGATTACAGTGGGACTGAAATGGCTTTGGACCATTTCCTACCTAGATGGTTGGTGGGTTAGAAGATATAACCATTAAAATGCAACTGCTTAGTGGGTAATATTGTAACTTATGCTACCCCAAAAGCATTTCCAGGCAAATGGACCTCCGATAGTGTAATTCAAAAGATTTACAAAAATGCAGGCCCCTTTTTTTGTTTTGTTTTATTACCTCGATGAGCAGTTCACTTCTTCCCTTTTTGTCCTTTGCATGGAAGAACACCTGCACATTACCTTCCTTTTGAGGGGAAACTTTATTCCATTCAGGATAACTTGGATTTTGTTTTAAAGCAGCCATTTCCCAAGTTATATACAATTTTATGAAGCAGATTAAGCTAATTGCTAAAGCTTGGTAATGAGGCTAGAAACTGCTGTGTAATAGTTTGCAATATGAGTTTTGCAGCATTGTTTCCTCCATTTTAATAAGCAGCACATTGATTGGTTCTTTGGCATTTAATAACCTACCACTGCGTTTTGCTTTAATGAACTAAGTAAATTGTTCCCGGTGTGCTTTATGACATCGCCTTACTCTCAAAGGGGGGAACAGGGTGAGACTCTTCTACTGCTGAATTCTCCAGTACTCTCCTCATTAAAGCGCTTGGTGAAATGTATTTAGCAGACCTCTAGGTCATTCTGATTAGCAGAAAGTGAGAATTACTTCAATCAGCCTCTGGCGGGGTGGGTGGGAACGGCAAACAAGAGGGGACATGATAGAAGTATATAAAATTATGCAAGTTGTGGAGAAAGTGGATAGAGAGACATTTTCCTCACTTTCTCAAAATACTGAAACCCATGGTCATCCAGTGAAGCTGGAATGGAAAATTTAGGACAGGCAAAATAAAGTATTGTTACACGCTACCCTGATCTTCGAGGGGCGCAAAATTCCAGGGGTTGCAGGTGTGCTTTAACCCAGGGCCTGTGTTTCCTTTTAGACCAGGGGTTGTCAAACTGGTCCCTACCGTCCACTAGTGGGCGTTTCAGGATTCTAGGTGGGCGGTAACACTGGCGGAGGAAGAGGAGTGCAGGGGGAGCGGACCGCTCCCAGCAGTGCAATCCCAGTGGGTGCCATCACGGCTGCCCCCCCCCGCCTTCAGCCCCCAGGACGCACATCAGCCCTGCCCCCGCCTGCTCTCCACCCCCCGGTGCTGGAGCATGAAGCTCCACCACTGGGTGGTAGGGGGTTCTACAGCACAAGCTGAATCCTCTTTCCATCGAGCACTGTTGGGCGGTAAGGAAATTTTACCATAAAGAAAGATGCATTAGTGGGCCGTAGGTATAAGAAGGTTGACTGTTTTAGATAATGAAGCACAGAGGAGGCTGTGATGTCTTTATGAAATATTTACACATAAACACAATCTGAATCTAATGGAGGGATCTCCAGCACTGCATTACAAGTAGTTCTGGTTTCTCCTATAGCCACAACATTGGATTCAAAACAGACATTGGCATCCTGCTTTTTGACTCTCTCTCCAACCCACTGCTAAGTAACTCTGTTCCTTAACTCCTGCCATACTAAACTCTAAAGGTAAAGGTAAAGGGACCCTGACCATTAGGTCCAGTCGTGACCGACTCTGGGGTTGCGGCGCTCATCTCACTTTATTGGCCAAGGGAGCCGGTGTATAGCTTCTGGGTCATGAGGCCAGCAGGACTAAGCCGCTTCTGGCGAGCCAGAGCAGCGCACGGAAACGCCGTTTACCTTCCCGCCAGAGCAGTACCTATTTATCTACTTGCAGTTTTGACGTGCTGCTAGGTGGGCAGGAGCAGGGAGCGAGCAACGGGAGCTCACCCCGTTCCGGGGATTCGAACCGCCAACCTTCTGATCGGCAAGTCCTAGGCTCTGTGGTTTAACCCACAGCGCCACCTGCGTCCCTATACTAAACTCTAACCTCCCCTAAAACACTGGCACTGCCTTTTAACTAAACCCTTTAACTAAACCCTCAGTTGAGGGAGGGAGGAAACCCACACACTTGCACATGGGAGCCACTGCAGAAAAGCCCATAGCTGTCAACCTTCCCTTTTTTTGCGGGAAATTCCCTTATTCCAGCCCTGTTTCCTGCTGCTTCCCGCTGCTATCCCGGATTGTTAGATATCCCGTAGACTGTCCCCGGGACAGGTGAGGCTGCTGTTCCCTTATTTTCAAATCTGAAAGTTGACAGCTATGAAAGCCCCGTTCTTGTGTTGCCGCTGTCGGTCCCTCTTATGGCGGAGGCACACGTAGAAGGGCCTCAGAGGATGATCACAGGGGCTGGTTTGGTTCTGAGACTTTGGCAATCTGGGTTCAGAGCCTTGTTGGGCCATAGAAACCTCATTGTGTAGTACATACAAGGCTTAGTGCTCCCTTCTGTGAAGCTGTATAGTTAGTCAACCTTTGATCTGTTTGTTTTTTTGGGCCGGAGTTACTACTTAATACACGCTTGATTGATTATTTATCCAGCTGAATAGGCTGAAAGTAATGATTAATCCTTTTTGGTTGATTGACAGCCCTTTTTCTTTCTCCCTTCGCAGGAACTCTCATCGACATGTTTGGGGACTACAAATACATGTTCATCAAGTGTGGGGCAGTCATGGTGCTGGCTGGGTTATTCCTCTTCATTATGAATTACTACAACTACAGAATGCTTGCAAAAGAGAAGAAAGCAAGGGAAAAAATCGAAGCGCAAAAGAAGGGCGATGGACCTGTAAGGACAATAACTGCAGAAGGAAACGCCACGGGAGCAGAAGAGATGAATGGTGGCCCCGAAGCAGTCCCTCTGGGAAGTGAAGAGGAAGCACTAAAGAATGGGGCAGACATCGCAAGTGAAGCCTAAATCTGCATCACCTGATTTTCTGAATGGGAAATAGCTCTTTTGTATTTCTTAAAGTGACTTCAGATGTACAGCATTTATAGATGGCCTTCACACACTATTGCCTCCCTGCCCCCCGCTGACTCCAAAAGCCTAGAAGCAAATAACAAGCCCAGTTTCCTATGAGCACACAGCAAATGCTATGTAGTGCTCATTACTACACTACTTCAAATCTGTATAAGCTTAGAGCCTTCCCAGCCACTTAGACAGCAATACTTTCCTCCATGTTTAGTCCTGGATAACTGCCTATGTCGGAGCTTCGTGCCTGTGCCCCTCACTCAAAATGGCCCCAAAATGGAAGAACCAGGGAACATTTTGTAGGAAAAGTTGCATGGCATTGGGGAAATTGCTCACCGACAGTGGATCCTCTACGTTGGAGAGTCAGCATTCCTTCCCCATGGCCTCTTAACAGAGAAGAGCCACAGAGCAGCAGTAAAGCACATGCTTTGTGTGCAGAATATCCCAAGCATCTCTAGAAAAAAAGGTACCAGGCCTGAGAAAGAACATAAGAAGAGCCTGCTGGATCAGGCCAGCTCATTATCAGTTGCAATATGGGAAAGCCCAAAGGCAACAGAATTGTCCCCTCTTGCTGTTTCCAGCAACTGGTATTCAGAATACTGCCTCTGACTGTGGAGATACCCACCAGTGTAGCCTTGTTCTCCATGAATTTGTCTAATCCTCTTTTTAAAGGGCCTCTTCCTAAGAGCTACTGCTAGCCAGAGTGGACAGTGCTCTCTTAGAAGGATCCACGGTTTGACTTGGTATAAGGGATGCTTGTATTTTCATTACTCTTTCATAGCTTATAATTCACAGTGCCTGCTGTATGGCTGGGGTGTACACAGCTGACCTCTTCTGGTGGCGATCTGGTGCACAGAACAAAAAAAGTGAAGAGAGAGAGACCCTGAAGAGAGCTAAGTGTTGCCACTGACTTCTCTTGTTGAGAAACACCCATTTGACATTCGGACCCAGTCATGTGATGGTTGCTCATCACTTTTTCTAACAGGAGAGTTTTCTGGATCTAGGCCTACGAGGTCTTAACATTATGAACGTGCGTAAGAACAACATACAGTTCGAATGACTTGCACTACACAATTCAGTTTCTGTGCCATGTTTACTAACATTAACAGTAATTCACATGCTAATATAAAGCTTACCAAAGTTTTGTTGTTGTTTGCCTGTAAATTCTGGTTAGATTTAGACAACTTCCAGCTAGACTGTACAAACCCCAATTCATGCATTGTCCCAGAATGCCTCCACAAAAACCTGTCCTAAGACTTTTGCACAAGACACAGTCCTAACCTGATCATTCAGCAACCATTTTCTCTTATCATTTTATGACTGACACAAACTACACAAAGAGCTTCACACCAGATATTTCCCCAGAAACAGATTCCATTCCTCTCTTTTTTAAAACAACCTCGCCATTCAATATCAGGAAGGCTTCCAAGTAATGTCAAAAATCATGAGCTTGGCTTGTTACAAATAAAGGCATTATTTTACTGCCACTGAATTTTATTATTATAAAGCTGAGCCCAAGAAGACATTTTTCTGATAAAATTGTCTGAGTTTTTTCTTTTTCTCACCTAACCCCAGGGGTAAATAAAGAGACCACTTTGCAGAATTGGGTACTGAAACTTATACATCAATGTAATATGTGTACATTTATTTGCTGCCACAGCCAAAATTAAAGGGCATCTCACCCCCCAAAATGCTTGTGGAGATTGATGAGGCCAGCAAGCTGATAGTTCAGCTTCCCTGACATATAACATGCGAGTTAGACCCTAAGTCAGGCTCAAATCTACGAGAGCGAAACCAGGGACATTAGGGATTCAGTCAAGGGAATTTTGGGGTAGAGAACGTGGATGGTCCTTTGCAGAGAATTAAAATCCAGGAGCTCTAAACCTCAGGCAAAATTTACTTTGCCTGCAGCTGATGGATACCAGATATAGTTGCCAAGATGAACATGCGCTGCTTTATCTGGCAGAACTACCTGAACATTTTAAAGAAAGAAAGTGGACCTGTTTTGACACAGTGTGCTTCCTTCTCTGAGAAGCACTCGCAGAGGAATCCTTTGAAGAATGTTAACATCAAAATGCAAACTCCACATGATCCCAAAATCCACAGGAACCAGCAGGAGTTTCTTCCCCAGAAGATGCTTCCACTGTGAAGGGTTTTTTTTCTTTCTGTCCAGGGGGTGTTCCTCTCTGAAGATTCCTTCCTGAAGTTCCTGAGGGAAGGGGGCTATTTTAAAGTGAAGACATAGTCTACACATTAATTAGCAAAAACTATGGTTATTTTAATCAAATTTCAATAACATCAGAGTAAAAAAAAAAAAGACTTTTAAGTAACTTCATTAGTACTGTGAGAGAATCAGGCACATTAAAAGGCATGTTGACACTGATTTCTCAACTGAACCTTCAGTTTTTATTGCCTGAGGTTCTTCTTGGAAGGACAATAGTTGCGTGTCAAGGCACCTAAGCAACAAAATTCCCAGGAGAACAATAAAGCACATGGACACGTCGTATTTTGGTTTATGGGTTCAAATAGGCTTTATTGGCTACAGATGCGAGTGGTTTGGCTTAGGCATTGGGATGAAGCCAGGCTATATCTTGACTCCTGCCCGTCTGCAGAGAGTCCACTTAAGGATAAACTGCCAATGGGGGCGGCCTATGACTTACATCAAATAGGGGCACCCCAAGGGGTCACCGTAGGGGCTGTGACATGGCCCTAGCCCACGTTCAGGCTTCAGACAGGATTCACATCCCGGATCTCTTAATGCCGCCCACCGGCAAAAGATGAACAGACTTATCACACCTGAAAGGCAATCATTTGCTAGCTTTGCATGCAACCACTGACATTCTTACCATTTGATGCAGAAAGAAGTAAAGGGTGTAAAGTTTGTATCAGTGCCTGCTCCTGTATTTGGAACAGAAGCTCAGTCTGCTGATGTTAGGATGTGTTAATGTTTATCCCAATGCTGCAAGAAGCTTCACCTGCCAATTAGCAGAGATTAAAACTACACAGAAGATGGCCAGGTAGCTCCCCCCACTCCACAATTGGCAACATTAGCTAATAAAGCAGCCTTTCTCAACCTGTGGGTCCCCAGATGTTGTTGAACTGCAACTCCCATCACCCCTAGCTAGCAAGACCAGAGCTCAGGGATTATGGGAGTTGTAGTCCAACAACATCTGGGGACCCACAGGTTGAGAACCGCTGTAATAAAGGATCAGATATATTTATGTAACCTATACAGTACAATTCTTGAAGACCCCTCAGTGCTGGCCGATGAACCGTGAATCTGTTGTCATCTCCTTTATTAATTGGGATATACATTTTAGTCTTTGGTGAAAGCTTTAAGCTGCGATCCTGTTTATTAAGATTTATATGCCACTTATTTTTTAATTTTTTAAAAAATCACTTCCTAAGTGGTTTTCATAAAATGGCATAAAATATTCTTTAAAAATAGCCATAGACTTTGAAAAAAGTCATCATGACATCAACATATAAAAAACCCCAACAGATTGAAAACAAAACAGAACAAAAACAAGTGCACACAATGAAGTACATGCATTGAGTACGCTTACATAAAAAAAAGAGAAAAGTTCTTAGCATGCATAACATACCAGAAAGTCAGTCCCATTGAGTTAAGTGGGACTCCCTTCCTAGCACATTTTGTACATTACGGTGGGATTTCACATTTTATGTAAGATATATTTTCCAGCTAACCAGAACAACAGATCTCAGTCACCAATCCATGCTGTTGTTTGTGTAAATGCTGCAGTTAACTGACCCCAAACATACTGGCATCTACTCTTTTCTTGAGCAGCTTCTGAAAAAGCAGCACATGAATCTTCAGATACACACATCTCCCTGTCCCCTCCTAAACCCATGTGCTGCAGCACTAGGGCAAACTTGACTGAAATGCTAGCTATGCTTATGAGGACAGCTGATAACTTAAGGAACAGGATATTTAAACAAAGCCTTCCTGTTGAGATAATGTAGGCAGCCACCATATCTAGTTTTCAAAACAACAGAGGTTCCTCTTTTCAACTGGGTGCATTCCTGTGGCTGGATGGAGACCAAAAAACTGATTAGCAAGCAAACAAAAGCACACACCAGTACAGTCTTACTCTTCTTTCAACACAAGCTGCTTTTTGGCAGGCCAGATCCTTTTGTCCGGAACATCCCAAACTCAGCATTAGAAGCAAATTGGGAAGTGAAATAAAACTTTGTGACCTGGATTGCAGGTGGAACCTCATACAAGCTCCCTCTTGGTCTCGCTGCAGTCTTCTGGACTGCCAAACAGTCTGATTCCAAATATTGAGGGATATAGGAACAATTGCCCATAGCAGAGTATACGACAGAATGGAAAGCCAGGGGAACATATACAAATGTTTGTGCAAATAATTGCAGATGTGGGAAGGAACGCAGATTTTTCTCAGCTGACTGTTCTACCTGCAGGTATGGTTTGGAACAGGGTGGAGAGTCTCTCAGCCTCAGGGGCCACATTTTTGTCTTTGTGAAAGGTGCCATTGAAATCTGTGCTTCTTGCTTGTCTGGACAGAGGATAGAGAAGTTTGTGTGTGTGTGTGTGTGTGTGTGTGTAGAAAGTAGCCTTCTGTATGAATTATTATTATTATTATTATTATTAAATGATATTTACTGAAAATTTTTTAGAATTATAAAAGAGAACAAAGCAGAAAAAGAGAAAGAAAAAACAAAGAAAAAACAAACCACATCAAACAATACAAATTCAAAAACCAAAAATACACCACAAACACTCAAAAACAAATCCATCATTCTCAAATCCTCAACTGTCATTACCTTCTTTCTTTGACCTCCTCCTCCTCCCTTTTTGTATCCTAGTTGTTAATTGTCGCAGCAAATCCTTTCCATATTTCATAATATTCTGTCATTACATTACCTTAATCTATTTTAATCTTATCTTACTATAAAGAGCCTTAAAGCTTAAAACTTAAATCTTATTTTTACCAACTTCTCATAACCATAACATTCTTACATAATTCTTTAAACATTTTTACTAAAGCCAAGTAATTTCGTTCCAACATTTTTCTAACATTCATCAATTTTATAAAACAATCCTAGTAGTCAAAAAGATATAAAAACAAGCCAATCTTCATCCAGCGTCCCTTCCTCCTGGTCCTGGGTTTTGTCAGTCCTTTTTATCCCATCGATCTAGCGCATTAACCTGGTAACCTTGTATCCGAGGCCCTTAAGTCCCTTCCATGTCCCTTCTGCGGCTCTTCTTCATATTTATAGCTGTATTTTCCTTTGTCTCCTGCTCCTTTCACTCGTGGGAACTCCAGCTTAACAATGTTTTTGACCCTTCTCGACAAATCAGCCCCTTTTCCATAGTCCACACTAAACTCCATGTGGTATTTAAGAACATGTTTCAAAATCCCTCCAAAATTAAGAGCCCCCACAACCCCAAACATCTCACGGCCCATTGCCAGACTTGAAAAGTCCAAACATCCCTGCATAGGGGGGGTCTATCCAACCCCCCATTTCCAAACCAAACCAAACTTTATCTTTCCAAATCTGGCTTTTTCCAAGTTCATTTGTCAAATCCAAAAGCTCATGTTCCTGCTGGGCCACAGCTCCCTCCATCTCTGGCGCCCAAGATTCAGGAACATCCTCTTCCCTCATCTGTTCTGTCAGGGCACACTCCTGATTTAATTCCTGGGTGGGCTCCATATAATTTCCCACTGCCTGTCCAAAATTTCTGATCGCATCAGTCATCAAGTCCGTCTTCTCATGTAGCTGTTCCAGTAGGGCATTTGTTTTCCTGAAAGCACACAACAGAGCTTCTGAATACATTGTCCTGCAAGGTCAGAAGTCTATTCCCACGATTGTAATCTGTAACAGCTGTAAGCTCCCCGGAGTTGGTTACAGTTTCACAGTCTCCCTCTAGGGGGGACAACTTCTATTTGTTCTTTCTTTTAAAGACAAGTCTAACAACAAAGTTTCCTTTTCAGATATTTTGTCAATATTTGTTCCTTTAAAATGCGAAGGGGAACAATGGAATCAAAGTTTCTCTTCTTATAGCTATCTGTCAAAAACGTTTGTCTCTGGTCAATGAGCTTCAAAAAAGTCAGTCCTGACACCCCGCTCCAGGATCAGGACGGTGGAAAGTTACTTTACTTTACACTCACTTCTGCAGGTTTAAACAGTCCGAAAAAATCCCCCCTCTTCTCCTGCTTCCGAAGGGGTTTCAACAATTTTAAATGATGAAAGTTAATCTTTTACAAGCGATTTTCTGAGCTCTAGTTTGCGATGTCTTTGCTTTAATCTATCTACAAAGAAACGGAAGGCTGACTTCCTGTTTAGACCTTCCCGTTTCAGTGCCAAATTGAGGTAAACTTTTAAGTCCAATTCTCCTTTCTGCTCGCAAGTCCTTATTTAAAGTCCAATTGTCCAAAATTTAAGTACTCACGGGTGATTATTTTAGCAGCCTAATTGTCCCAGGAAAAAGGCAGCGCTCTCCGGCAACGGCTGTGCGGCTTCGCTCCACGGAAGAAGCAGTTGACTCTCAGCACCGCGCCACTTCTCCCTCTTTGCTCCGGAGCCCTTTAGTGGGTTCCTTTGCGGGTTGGGGGGGGGCGCTAAAGGTGCCCGCCAAGTCCCATGGTCACAGGCTTCATCCGCCTGTGATTTTTGAAAGGGTCCCCGCTTCGCCGTAGCGGAAAAGACCCGTTTCGCGTGGAGCTAGTCCCTCCAGATCAGAGGGAGTCCGCCATTGCCGATGGCGCCCCGGAAGTCCCAGGATTATTATTAGTATTATTTATATCCCGCCCTCCCCAGCTGAAGCCGGGCTCAGGGCAGCTAACAACAATAAAATTCTAAATTCTAAAATCATTTCATTATAAAATTAATTCAAATCAAATTGATGGCAACCATTGGGCTAGAGTTCTGTGAAGATTGCCAAAGGAGGGAGTCAGGCTGTGCCCTGGCCAAAGGCCTGGTGGAACAGCTCTGTCTTGCAGGCCCTGCGGAAAGATGTCAAGTCCCGCAGGGCCCTAGTCTCTTGTGACAGAGCGTTCCACCAGGCCTTTGGTGGAATTTACCAGTACATCTGTTGCTCCACCCACTTTCTCTCCAGCCCTGCCCACCATTGGCATGCGGCCCAGAGCAGGTTATCTGAAAGGCTGAAAATGGTTTTGCAGGCAGGGTGGGGGAGCTGTGGTTTCCCAGATGTTGCTAGACTCCAGCTTCCACCCACCCCAGCCAGCATGGAGGGCCAAAGGTTCCCCATCCCTGCCACAGCGGGATAAGTCTTGTCTTGGTGTCCAGTGTGCTTGTTCCCTCGGTGTTCATACGTATGGGCTTCTCATAGTATAGTAAAAATACAAATTCAGGATAGGTTGGGAACAGATACTAGCAGACAAAGTATGCTCAGGGAGAAAGAGGAGCCTAAAAAAAAATCATGGTGTTGAAAAAATGGATAGTTTGGGAAACAAAAAGACAAGAGAAGATAAAGAAACTGCAAAAGACAGTCATAAAACTGCCCAGAATCTTAAAAGCACCATTCCTGCTTTGTAATGGGGAATCTCATAGCCACACTGGCTCATTATACCTGGTTCATTTGGGTCTGGGCTTGGTGGTAGATACTGGCTTCACATATTAGGATGAATGATGATTACTTAATTACTATACCACTTAATATATTAGAAACATCTCTAAGTGGTGTACGGAAAACTGAAGCGACGGCCAACAGCTTAAACAAAAATATTACAAAAATACACAGAAACATATAAGAAAAGCTACCTTCATACCAAATTGCTACTATATTTTGTTTCTGACACACCTTCCCTCTCAGCTTCCGGGTTCTCACTTGGAGTCCAGACAAACTCCCATAAAATTCACCCATAAAAATCTCACAGTGAGAATAGTTCCTGGAAGCAGTGGACATCACCCTAGTCTCTCAATCTAGACTTGCTTTTTATGGGTAGGTCCATGGTGGACGAACCTTCCTCAGGCTGCCCACAGCTGTGTCCCATTCGGCTGCACTCTCCATACCCATTTTCAGGTACAGCAGGTTTGTTGAGTTTCCCGCAGAGTCCAAAAGATGGGGAAAGAGCCTCCTTCCACCCACAGCTCATTCTTTACCCTCTGCTTTCCATTCCAAAGCAAAGCCAATGATTGATTTATACAGTGTGACTTCCACTGAACATCTATAAC